CTCTCACTTTTTATTTCACCTGACGACGAGTTGCAGCCAATCTAGACAACCAGATATGTAACGACGATGGACGACGACCACAACGCTCGCCAAGACGTGATTTGGAGATGTGTTTGCTCTCTGTTGCAACCGTCGCTGCTGCTGTTGCTGTTGCTGTTGCTGCTGTTGCTGCACTTGTTGTGTCCAGCGAGGGAAAAAGTGGTACAGATTGCACTAAAGTCCCAGCTCCAACTAAAGCATCATCATCATTATCGCCATCGTCATCATCTGCTGACTCCCCAAAAACGCATTCACGGCAACGACTGCAACATCTGCGACTGCAGTTGCATGTTGCTGCTGCTGCTGCTGCAGAAGTTGCTCTCGTTGATGAGTTGCATAGTTTGCCAGAGCGGCTTGGACATCTTGGGGGATTTCGTGTGAGGAGCACTGTTCCTGACAGGCCATCATTTATGCCTGGGTTAGAGAGCAGATTTAACTGGGATTTTTATGGGCTGCAGGTGGAAAAATCCCCTCATTTGCACAAAAAGCTTGCTTTATTGCCTCTTTCAAAAATATATTTTAGAATGTCTTTATTAAAATATTTTCCACAAGAAATATAAATATTTCAATCATAATATCAAACTTATTTATGTTATTTGATCTTTAATCTAAAGATTATCATCGGTAAATGCAAATGTGTTTATATGCAAACATTTTGTCTTATCTTTTCTTTAAATACAATTTTTTCGCATTTCATCTTTTAAAAAGATAAAATTATAACAGTATATTGATGAAACTATAAATATTCCGGTTTTAGTGCCTTTAATAAAGATTTCAAATACTAATAAAATCATAAGCTAATCGTAATTTTTTGGTATTACTCGAATTGGTAAAATATTCAATCAAGCAATAAATGCCTGCACTGATCTAGTGAATGATCTTGGGTATTAATCTCTTCTATCTGAAGCATTTCTCATTGACTTTATTGCCCGTGCGTGTCTGCCTCTTCTCTTTTATTTTCTGTTTGTTTGTTTGTCGTCGAATGTTTGTTGTGACGCTTTTGGTATCAGGTTGCTATTGCCTCGTTAGAGAGTGAGCCGCGATCCTGCCAGCAAATATTTGTTGTCGCCGCATTGCAAGTTGCAAGTTGCTGGCGTGCAGTTGTTGCTGCTGTTGTAGCTGATGCTGCTGCTGCTGCTGCTTGGACTGATGTAACAAGGTTTAATTTTCCATTTCAGTGAGCGGCTCGCTTTGGAGATTTTTACTCTCGTTTTTCATTGTGTGTCGCCGGCTTTGGCTTGGTTTTCCTTTTAGCCAAGTCTTAGTCTTGGCTTTGGTTGTGGTTTAGCTGCGCTTGATTATGCTTTTGGCTTTTGCTATTGCCGCTGCTGAAGCGCGACTGCATCGAATGATTGTCATGATTATAACGATAATTATGCGGCCAGCATTTAATAATCATGATGCCGCCGCTGATGACGGGGGTTCGTCTGGAAATTGACAAAGTTAATTTCGGGCTACTCGTAGGATTCCCGCTCTATAACTATGCATCAGTTACAGAGCCCACACTTAGGAAAAAACCAAAGTACATACTTGAAATCCTTTAACGATTAGTTTATAAAAGCTTTTAAATTTCATAATAAATTCATCATTCCATAAGATATTAATAATTTGTTGGTTTCACCATTAGAAAGTGCTATAACTCATTTGAAAATTTATAATGTTCAAAAATATGAAGTGCATTTATTATACCGAATTTTAAAATATAAATAATAAAGCTATTTTGTTAAGTAGTTTAGTAGTTTGTTTGTAATATTTTGACCTACCTATGTATCAATACATAACAAAACAGGATACGTTGAAAGTTATGATAGCTTTAAAAACGCAAATAAATAATTGTTTTAAAAAAAATGGGTGAGCTGCAAGAGCAAATTATTTAATAAAATTGTAAGAATCAGGACTGTGGTCGTTGGGCTATTTCCTCAGTGTTGTTGCAGTTGCAGTTGCAATCCCGTACTAGCAACATTGTCAACAGCAACAACATCTCCACCGCTGGACATTTTTGCCAATCTGGAGCGCCGTTTTCCATCGTCGCCATCGTCGTCTGTCTGCCTGACTGCGTTTTTCGCGGTTTTACAACTTTGATTTCACTTTTCTTTGCAACATGCGACGCCGCTTGCGGGATTTTATTCGTATTTTTCGTACTCGTACTCGTACTCGTACTCGCATTTGTATCTGTGGCTGTGCATCTGCAGCCGTACCTGTATCTGAATCTGTATCCGTACCTTCACCGTCCGTTTCTTGAACTGTTTGCTTCATTGCTCTCGTTGTTGTCGTCCGCTGTCGCTTGGCCAAAACTTTGTTACTCTTTAATTGGTTTTTTTTTTGTAATTCGTATTTTCTTCTTGGCTTTCGCAGGCATCCGCTTAAAGGTGATCATCGCCGCGATGATCGCGTCGCTGATGATGATGCAGTGTCGACCAGCTAAAGAATGGGCTATAATTGTCAACCGCTTAGGCACGTTTGCAACAAATTATAAAACACACCGTGATGTTTTGGGCAGTGGAGAGCGGTCTGGGGTCTTGGGCGCCGTCGAGATTTTACTTTTGACAAGCAAAAGTCATCTGAAAGGTGTTGACGCTTCAGGTGCAAAATGACGGAATTTTACTTCAATTAATTTTTACCATATAAAATATCTCACAAATTTGTTTGCCGATTTTTCATTATCATTAACACGTCCAAAATTATTTTTTTTACTTTTTATGTGTTTTTTCAATTACCGTTTACTTTAAATGTTATTGGTATTGTAGTTTTGTCAGCTCAAATTAGTTCGATCTTGTTGTCGTTGAATATAACATCAATGTCCATAATTATATTAACCTAATTGAATTAATCTTGGTAAATATTTGGTAAATCATTAGATAAACAAAATAAAACGAGGCTTAAAAGCCTAAATCTCTGTGATAAATGCAATACAAAATAAAAACAAATGTGTGTATTAGATAAATAAATAAAGTTTAAAATTATTATTCAAAAATGCAACATATTTTCTTCCAAAATTAAGTTTGACAAAACAGTTTGCAAACCTTCAATGCTATTTTTATCTTCTAAAATCTTAAAACGGTTCCCCCCTCAAAGAACCACCCATTATAAGCCACCTGATTGTTGCGTTTATAAATGCAGCAATCTTTCCACGCGTTCTCAAGCTCTAATTACAATTCTGTAACAATAATTTTCGACTCCATAACACCGCAGACAACAAATCAAAGGCAGCAAATGCGGCTAATTAACTTTTTGGCAACACGGCTAGCCAGCAACAACAACAGCAACAACAACGTCGCCAGACGATCGCTAAATGCTGCAACAACAACAGCAGCAACAGCACCAGCAACAACAAAGAGCAGCAGCAACATCAGCAGCGACGACAGCAACAGCCCACGAAAATGTCTCATGAAAAATTCTGTTCTAGATAGGAGAACAGAGCTCCATAGATCAACGCGCCCACCTGAATGCAAGTTGTCTGTTAAAGTTGTTGCTGCTGCTGCTGCTGCAGTTGTTGTTGCAGTTGGCAAATATGCAACTTTGGTTGCTATTGCTGTTGAGCCCGGTTCACATGATGAGTTGAGGAGTTGGGGTCTTTTCTTGGCGTGCCATCTGCCCAGAGTCGAGCTTAGGTTGTTGCACAGCGGAAAAAGTATTCTAAACATAATTCAATTCATTTATCTAAACTTCCTGTAGCAAGAAAGAATATGCTTGATTAAATGGGGCATCTTTAAATCACTTGTATTCATTTTTATGAAATCAGATTATTATCAAGTTGTACCTTGTAAAAATAAAATCATTACATCACTTTGGTATTTTGATTATTTATTTTACAATATCCTCAAAAAATGTTTATAACGTATTTACTTCTTGGAATCTTTGCTTTTAGCATTATGCCATAACTAATAAAATATGCTTAGTTTTAACCCTTATTTTCGAACAGTGTAACCCTCATCCATCCTCATTTAAGCCCACGCATTTTCCGTTGCCTTGCACGCACCTTTAAGCGACGTTGGGCGACCTCCACACGAGGTGCCACTGTAGCCCACTTCCTACCCGCAATGCACCCCCACCACCCCCTCGAAATGTGTGTTTAGATGTTTGTCTGCCCGTCTGTTTGTCTTACATAATCGTCACTCTAGATACCGTTAAGTTTTTTGTTAATTTTCATGACTTCTTTTTCTTGACGGCTTTCAAGTATCTTTCCACCTTAAAACAACAGACAATAGAACAATTGTTTAAACATTTCGGTGGTCTCCCCTTCCTTTTCGAGGCTTTTGGCATTGCGGGCAAAAGAATACAATAAAAATAAGAGAAGAAAATAACCAACAAATTTGTTTTAAAAATATGTTCTTTGGGTTGCCGAACAGTTGGCCGGAGTACTATTATTAGTTTGGTATGTGGATAGGCCCATTATGACGTAGATGGAATTACCGCAGACATATAGAGCATATAGCCCGATCTGGCACAGCTGCGAAATGTCGAACTCTGTGACGCACCCGGGAACTGGGTTTATTTGGCAAAGGTCTGGGTTTGGTAATGGATGATTGTCTTAAGTGCTCAGTAAGATATTTGGGAACTAGCAAAAAAAAAACATTTGAATGAATATATTTGCTTAAACGTAAAGACCCAAATGACATTTAAAACGGTTTATCGCGGCTATCTTAGTTTTATTATATTTAAGATTATTAAATTTTAATAATATATATAAAACAATAAGCAGAAAAGGAAATAAAAGTAATCAAACTTAGTAATCAATAGATGGTGGAAAAAACCAAACTATTCCTTATACCTTAACTTTTTAATTTTCCTCATAAATAAGTTATGCATTGCATGGAATCGAAATTTGGAGTTTTTTTTTTGCAATAAACTGTTTAATAATGTCCATAAATCTAAAATTTAATTTAAAATTAAACGTTTCACTTAAACTACTTTGTCCCACGATTGTGTGCTTATCAATTTACCTTTGATTTTCCTTTCAGGTACATAACTCCTGTAAAACGAAGGCAACTTTAAATCAGAATCATTTGGAGCGTCGTCAGTGGCAGCAGTAGCAGACGAACTGGAAGAGAAAAGCGAAGCTTAAACTTAGAACCTACATCCGGCAGCCTGGGCAATCAATCGCACCACCAATCAATCAATCAATCAATCATTCATTTAGTAGGAAAAGCGCCGGAAAACGGAGGAAAAAACTCGGTTACGGCCCGTGAGCGACTTACATATGAGAGTTATGAGAGAGAAAGACCACTCACCAAGAAAGATGCTTCCTAGCCCGAAACAGGGCTGCGTATACCCTGCCTTAGGATTAATACCCACATCGTATATATCACACGTACCTTATGATCTGGCCTCCGCGGCGGCGGCGGCAACCTCCTCGTCCTCATCGTCGTCCTCGCCGACGACGACAACGACCACAACGACCACTGGCCGGCTGCAACATCAGTCGCAGCAGCAGCAGCATCAGCAGCAACATCAGCAGCAGCAACATCAGCACTCCCACCAGCAACATCAGACGTTGAATCACCATGCCAAGGGCAAGAGAAGAAGCAGTTTCGATCAGCCGCTGGACCTGCGATTGGCCCACAAGAGGAAGACGGATTTGGCGGATGGGGGGCCGCTGGAGGATGAGAACAGCAACCTGATAATGTTCGCCAGCGAACTGGCGGTGGCCCAGCAGAAGGAGAAGGAGCTGAACAACAATCACATAGCCGCCTCGCTGGCCGATCTGGGTTTCGACATGAGCCGGAAAATGCTGAGGGCCCTGCGGGAAGGTGGCGGTGCAGGAGGGGGTGGACCCACCACCGGACCGCCTTTGACACCACCGCAATGTGCGATGCCTGCTGTGCATCCCACACTCCTAGAAGCCATGACCAAGAACTTGCCCCTGCAGTATCGCAATGTGTTCGCCGGGGTGCTGCCCGGCAAGGTGACCAGTCCGGCGGCCTCGAGTAGTCCCACCGGACCGGACTTTCCCTTCCGGCATCCACTGAAGAAGTGCGAACTGACGTGGCCGCCACCCACAGAGCAGCTGCAACTGGAGCTGCCCCATCCGAATCGCAAGTTGTCGCCGGTGCTGCCGCATCCCCAGCTGCAGGACTATCAGACGCGGCGGAAGAACAAGGCCAGGACAGCGGCCACGGGCGGCAATGCCACGCCCAATCTGCCGCAGCGCAACAAGGATCGCTACACCTGCAAGTTCTGCGGCAAAGTCTTCCCGAGATCGGCGAACCTGACGCGCCACCTGAGAACGCACACGGGCGAGCAGCCCTACAAGTGCAAGTACTGCGAACGTTCCTTTAGCATTTCCTCGAACTTGCAGCGCCATGTGCGCAATATCCACAACAAGGAGCGGCCCTTCAAGTGCGAGATCTGTGAGCGCTGCTTTGGCCAGCAGACGAACCTGGACAGGCATCTCAAGAAGCACGAATCGGATGCCGTGTCCTTGAGTGCCTTGTCGGGGGTGAGCGAACGGATGCACTGCATACGCCGGTTCTGCGAGAATCCCACAGAAGAATCCTATTTCGAGGAGATACGCAGCTTCATGGGCAAGGTCACACAGCAGCAGCAGCAGCAACAGCAACAGCAGCAGCAGCAACACGACCAGCAGCAGCAGCAGCAACAGCAACATCAGTCAACAGCAACATCGGCGGCCAGTTCGTGTTCCTCGTCTCGCGACACGCCCACTTCCTCGCAGGAGGAGGCGGCGGAGAACACGGCAGCAAAATCCACGGCTGAGACGGCAGCAACATCGTCCAGCGGAGATCAGGAGGAGGAGGATTCGCAGCCCATACTGGAGCTAAAGAAGACCCTCACCTCCAAGCTATTTCCCACAACAACAGCAGCAGCAGCAGCAGCAACAACTACGCCGCCAGCAACATCTATCAAGGAAGAGGAACCCTAACTACACAACAGCAATTTCTACAACAAATTTCCTATAGCAGAGAGCGGCCAGAAGGAGGTTAAAAGGTCCCTAAAACTATGTCTAACATCTAGCTAAGGGGCAGATCCCTAAAACTATGTCTAAAAATCTAGCTGTAAATATATATATATATATATAAATATATATATACCTAAACCCCTAATGTTCTACAACTATGTGTAAATCGAATTGTACAAATCGAGAATTGGCAGATCCATAATTATATATATATATATACGAACGTATGTGCATAACTATTATTAGATTCGTCTTAGGCATTGGTATCTTTTTGTACATAAACAAACGTGACACGACAAAAAATGTATGAAAAATAATGACAAACAAAACAAGGCGCCCACTGTTTAAATAAAAAGTTACAAGTTTTTGAAATTAACTAAAAAGTGGGTTTTAATTTGGTCGGATTGGGATTAACTACCATTATAAAAATATATTTATCAAAAAACTATATTTGAATTAGAAATATCACCTCAAAATAGATCTGTGGAAAATTTCCGGAAAAGATTTCCATCTACCCTCACGAACCCTATTTTACTTATACTATAATTTATACTTATACTACTCTTATATTACATTAAGCATGGAACCCAACCAACATAGGAAAGTTAAAAAGAAACTTAACTATTGTTGGCTAACTAAAGTCCTAAAAATTAGTTTGTTTGACTGCAAAAGTAGAACATATTATAACAGGTGAAAGTGATGAAATTAAGATTTAAAGTAGAGAAGAAATTAATGTTTTCGATACAATTATCGATAACAACAGCTACGAATGCGCCAAATTCAAACGTAGGCGGATATCAAGCAGAAAATGATTATACGCTTAGCCAAGAGACGCAATCAAATCGGTCTGCCATCCCTTCCTGGCGCATAAAATGTATAACACTCGCCAGACTTAGAACAATATTTGATTGTTCGCAAAATAAATACACTGATTACGGCTAAATTATACACGGGGGCACATTTTGAGGCACTAATCTCAGCGGGCGCTGTCACATGTGTATGCCCGCGATCCAGATAATAAATAAATCCAAATGCACATCTTCAAGGGGCAGATAGTAGTCTCCACGGACCCCGACTTAGTCAGTGCCAAGCGGCCCGGCAATCAAGTTGAGCTCTCTCTATCGCCAACGACGCGTCGGCCACTGCAGCTTAATTCAATTAAAATTAAAACGCAGATCTACGCGACCGAGTGAAGAAATTGCCCCAAATTCCCGACAATTATAGGCCACGCTCGTCAGTAATCCCGCATCTGCGTAGGTAGTCATATCGGAATCTCGGCCATGCAATCGGACGCATCTCCCCTGGAAGCCGCAGCCACGGAATCCCTGCCCATGCACCGATCCACCTCCATGCCCGTGAAGCCAAAGCCGCTGGAGCAGAAGCCCCTGCTCCGATCCTCCGAGAAGGAGACGGTCAATGCGGCGGATTACTACCCGGAAAGTCCGGGATTTGTGAGGCGCAGAAGGTCCAAAAATACCGGGGATCACCTAGAAACACGCAGCGAGCAGAAGTGAGTGTGGGTCGAAAAAACCAGACAGTTATTTCCGGACTATGAACTTAATTACGCCATTTCTTTAATTGTTCGGTTATTGTAAGCATCGATTTTGCTCAAGGTCAGGGATTACCAAAAGCGTTTTTTGTTTTAGTTTATACGATACTTGTCAATCTCCATCGGATTTCGTGTTTTTTTTTTTTTTGAAAATATACGCATTTGAACATTGAAGTGCATTAGTCAATTATTTACCAACATATAAACCAAAAAAATGTGCGACTAAATAACGCCATACTATTTTTTAAACAAGATAACAATAATATTAGTCTGAGTTGTAATGTCCAACAAATTTGGTATACGAAATTTATCGTCTTATTTCAATGAATTAAATAATAAGGCAAAGTACACGTTTGCTTTGAACACGCGGTTCCCGTTTTTATCGAATAAATTGATTAGTTTTGTATTTTTACTTAACAACAGGTTGCTAAAAAAATGTACCGTATAATACCAATAGGAAATTTTTATTTAAATTTTATTTAATATAGAACATAAATGAAATCGCATCATTGCAAAACAAACGTTTTAAGTCTTTCGATTTTAATATTTCTATATGATGTGTGTAGCTTTTTAAGCATTGAAAACAAATATAAATTTATTCTAATATTCGTGTATCTATGGCTACGTAACAACTAACACCTAAACATTATATAATTTAGCTTTCCATACTCACACGACTGGGCGGGCAGCACCATAGAGCTAACACCAGATGTGGGTTCCGGACCGGGAAGCTCTTCACCGGATGGAATGAGACGCAGCCTGCATCGCGTAATGGAGAAGAACGGCAAGGAGAACGTTGTGTTCCGGCGAATTCCGGAGAAGTCCTGGCGCTACATGCGGGATCTGGTCACCACGCTGGTAAGATCCTGGTTTGGCCCCAAGAAAACGTCATCGTCTCAAGCCGATCCGCCGCGATCGGATGTGTATAGCATAACGCCCAGCATTCAGCGCAGACTCGATGAACTGGCCAATGAGCCACCGCACCTGAGTCCCCATCTTTCGAGGTCTAATCCCAACCAGAGCGAACGCGTCACCTTTAGTATATAGTTTTTAGTACACTAATCTAACCATGACCCCCTGAAATGCTCATACATATTAATAAAAACGTTATTAACCAACCGCATACACACCTGCATTGCTAAACTGGGGATTCTAGGGAAGTTATTTTAGTTATTTGAAACTGGTTACGAAAACATCTCTTGAATTTGAACAAAAAATGATATGATCATTGAAACCTTGAAATATAAAACAATTTTATATAATTAGTTTATAGGTAATCATTACATCACCTTTGTTCACTTTTGTTTTCTATAATCTTGTTCAACATTGTGAGTAATGCAAAAGTCCAAAGACACACATTTAAAGACTGTGTTGGCTAATCTATATCATGGTATTCCTGCTGTCGTCTCAGTATGGGTCTCAGGTGTTTAACCCTACCTGTGTGCTTTTGGCAATCCATTAAGGCTGTTTTTTTCGAATCGCACAGATGGAGCTGGAGTGGAAATACATGCTGACCCTGTTCCTGGGCAGTTACTTCCTCAGTTGGCTGCTCTTCGCCGCCCTCTGCTACGTGGTGGCCTACTCCCACGGCGACTTCATCTTCGACCCAGTGAGCGGAGAACGGATGGGCGAGGGCGAAGATCCGTGCATCTTTGGGGTCGGCAACTGGGTGGCCATGCTCATCTACTCGGTGGAGACGCAGACGACCCTTGGATTTGGAGAGAAGTACGCCAGTGAGGAGTGCCCAGAGACCATCTTTCTGTTCGTGATGCAGATGATGAGTGCCGCCCTCATCGAAGGATGTATCGTGAGCGTGATCTATGCCAAGACAGCACGTCCGGCGCGGCAGCTGACCAAGCTGAAGTTCAGCGACAAGGCGGTGGTGAGTAGATTTCCCCGACGGGTAGGTGCTCACCTGATTGGACCCATCCATCTGGCGATTGTCTCACGCAGATCTGCTACCGCGACGGACGACTGTGTTTGCTCTTCCGCGTGTGCGATCCCCGCGAGCAGCAGTCCATCGAGTCCAAAATCCGCGTCTACATGATCGTCGATAAGCGGTGAGTCACTGTCGCATTTTCGGGAATGGTCGGATCTCTTGGCTTATCTGGGGTTTCGATAATAACGATTATGTCAGAGGTTTTGCAAAGAGTATAAATCACAAGCCTGGAAAAGAAAGGGAATTCATTTATGCTTTAGCCTTACTGAACTCCCACCAAACTAAAATAAATTATGAATATTTCTTTATATTTTTATAGTTACTATTAGTTTCGTCTTTTTAAACAGATTTGCTATGGACTATTTATTTTTAAAATACTACTTAAACTATTTAATTGTTGTGCCGGAGAAAGGAATGGTTATCTCTAAATAAATACTAGTTGAAATACCTATGACTGGGCTTTGAGAGAATTTATATAAATATTTTAGACTTGACTTCCATCAAACTTAATTTGTTTAAGAACAATTTCTTTAAAAATATAAAACTATTAAATTGTTTTACCCAAGCACGGCATACCATATGCCTGGGTTCTAAGAGAAAATGTTTAAGGTGTCATAAGAGCTTGAGCAAAATTAACTTGACCTACAAGTAAGATAAGCCTTGCAACTAGATAAGTCTTGCAATTAATACGATTTCCCATCTTATCTATTTCGCTGACAGCACGCGAGAGGGTGAGTTCGTTAAAACTCACGTGGAACTGAAGTTAGAGGGAAATGGGGAGCAGATTATTCTCTGGCCCGATGTGGTGTGCCATGTGATCGACGAGTCGAGTCCTCTGTTCCAGTTCACCACCGCCAAGCTCTTCAATGCCGCACAATACGAGCTTTATGTGTCCATTGTGGGCACTTCCCCGGCCACAGGCCAAATGACGGAGGCCAAGACGTCCTATCTTCCAAGGGAGATTTTCTGGGGTCAGCGGTTCGTCAACATCATCCATTACGATGCCCAAAACGAGCGTTACATCGTCGACTACGAGAACTTTAACAGGACCATTTCAGTGGACATGCCCATGATGCAGCGGACCAGTGATTATTTAAAGCTAGAGTACAGAAAGTGAACTTGAAAATTAAATGCATACATCTTTTATGAGACAGTTAAGTATCTTGTCTTTACATTAACTTAAAGACCGAATTGAAGAATTACATGAATATTATTTTCGAGACTCTATGATTGAAATAAGACTAGGTACTGAATTGGCCACTTTTTAAATTTATTTTATAAATACCTTATCTATCTTATTAAATTACATTCCTTTATCGCTTTGCGTATTTCAGAAAATGTTTCTCGTGTCTCACAAATAATTTTAAATGTATTACAAAACTGACTAACATTATCTAAATAATTAATGGACTTATTAAAAAATGTGTTTACTGAACATGTGCACTTAGATCGCATTTCATTCTTCGCATGATTCAGTTTGCTCCTGCCTCTGATAAAACTTAACTTGGGCCCTCAGCATTTCGTTCTCATGTTGCAGACGCGAAAACTCGCGCATAAAGCTATCTCCTCGGAGAAGTAAGGCGAGGGCGTCTCGGATCTCCACTGTGCTCTCTAGATACTGCCTCGTGTGATGGTTCATCTGCGATTCCATCTTCTTCTGGTTGTACTGGCCTAAGTACTCCAGTTCCCGCTCCACCTGTCCGCAGCGCTGGTCGACAAACTCCTTCAGCTCGCTAAACTCCTTGCGCCAATCGCCATCTATTTGGGCGGATAGCCCACTGGAAGATTTGGCCAGCAATTTCTGCGGTTTCAGCTGCGTGCTCGATAACTGTGGTGTGACGTTGGCATGATGTGGGGTACTGTTGCGACTGGCCGAGAGCAAACGCAGCTGGCGCTTCAGTTCGGCGTCCGGCGGCGGGGGATTCTCCTTGTCGCTGCCCGTGCTGCTGGCCACGGAAATGTTTGCCGACTGCTCCTCGCTGTGCTCATCTGTTTCGGCTATCTTCATTAACTTTACCTCCCCGGAGATGTTGCTCCGATCTTTTAGCTGGCCGCTCAAGGTCTCTTCAAATAATATGGCAAGTTATTATCAGTTGTTACTGATAGAGTATAAGTATTAATTTCTTACGTTGCAGTGACTCCGCATTGGAGCTGTTGCAGGAGTTGTCCACCGAGCTGAGACCAGATCCCCCTGGAGCACAAAGGCTCTGGCGCTGAACAGTCTCGTTGGGGATGGGTTTCCGGTTGAGGGTCTCCCAATCGAAGCTGTCCCTGTAGGAGGTGCCCAAACGCGTGGACATGCGATCCACTGCCCTCGGGCCTTGGGCATCCAAAAAGTCGCAAAAGGAATCCCGGCGAGCAATAGCAGGCGGCGCCACCGCTAAGCCCAAATTGTTTACACCGAAACTTATCTGCTGCAAATTAGTAGCAATGGATTTGCGCAGCTCCTCGCTGGAAGAACGCTCGCCTCGAGGAGCTTCGGTTCCCAATCCAGTTGCATTGCCCGAGCCATTTAGGCTGCTGTTCTGCTGGTTATCTCCGCCAGGCATGGGCACAAAAGCCACCCGGGTCACAGCCGCATCGTGAACACTTCTAATGGCCAACGGAGCTTTCGTGCTTCTCATATCGTAGGCAATCAATTCGCCCTTAAGGTTTCCCGTACAAAGGTAAGTGCCGCAGTCACTCAGCGCCACCGTGGACAGCGGATGGGAGTAGGTCAACCGATCCGTGGAAGCTTGAGCTCTATTCCGCCGGATGTCGAAGATGTTGATCTTGCAATCGTAGCCCACGCTGACCAGCAGCGCGGGCTGAGTGGCACACATGCTGATGTCCCTACAGGGAGCACTGTGCGCCTCGCTGGCGTGGAAGATCTTTCGCATGCCCTGCACATCGTACACTGTCACGGCGCCTTTGTAGGAGGCGATCGACAGCTGGAAACGCTTGCTTGGATGAAACCGCACCAGAGTGGAGCTGAAATAATGAGTATTATTAGAAATTTTATGGAATTTGTTTACAAAAGGTTAAATTTAACTTCACAAGTTATAGGGACAAGCTTTCGTGAGTGGAGTTTGTAAGTTTTTTAAAGGAGTTATAGCTTATCAGTACGTGTTCTACATTATTCGAATAATCTAGGTAGCTTACTCGCCATCGATGGTGAAGGTGTTGGTCTTCTGCTTGGTCTTGATGCCCAGAATGCAAATGTCCCCGCCTTCGCGCACAGCGGCAATACAGTCATCCCTGTTGTTGTAGTCCATGTAGAGGACAGTGCTCCTCTGCGGATCCGCCGGAAAGCGATGGATCAGCTGCGCAGTCCGGAAGTTGTAGAGCTTGACACAACCACTCTGGCCCACGGCGATCTCCTCCAGCGATTGCTTGGCACAGGCCACACAGTAGGCATTGTCGATGGTCAGCTTGCGGACTCGCTGGATCTCGGGAGCTGGTTAAATGGGTAAAGCTAGTTTAGACGGAACTTACATCCTTACCTACTTCTTACCCTTTGCCTCCTTCTCCTTTATTCGCATCACAGCCAAGCCCGCCATTTTATCCACCTCGACAAAGACCCTTCGCTGGCCATTAAACTGGAAGTCGACGAGCTCTCCACTTTTGTGCACATACTCGGACTTTGTCTCCAGATCCGCAAAGTCGGATAGCACAGTCTTCTTTGAAGTGGAAATCACATACATTTTGACTATTTCTGTCGATTGTCCCACAATTCAAATTTGAGTTTTGTTGCTGGCGGAGATTTGCTACCAAGTGTGCCCACCTCTTTTTTCGCCCAAAATACCAAGATGTAACCAGTGACTATTTGTTTCCATGTCTTTTAAAAATCAAGTTTAACGTATATTAAGAAAATGGCTTAAGCGCCCAATTTTAAATGCATTTAATTTAGTTTTAGTTTTTTAGGCACTTACTTAAAAAATATGTTTTTATAAATATACTCATCTAAAAATAGCCTCAAACTTACATTAAGCCAAATAACAAGCTCTAACAAAATTATTTGTTCTATTGTTTATTTCAGATTCAATAACGTTACTTTTAATATCAGCAATGATTTTATTGTATATTTTACTGCGTCAAAAATTGGGAGAAGTTAAAAAAAACTCCGATTTCAGGAAAAGTGAAGACAAATTAATAGTGTTCATTAAGTTGCCGCAGGAAGCAGTGGGAACGCCTCGGAAAGTGCGGTCACACTTGTCAGTCACAACCAAATTCATCGGATCATTAGGCAAGAAGAAGAGCAAGCAATCACCTGCGAAAAAGAAATAAATTGCCGAGAAATGTTGAAAACTTTGTAGAGCGGCTGTTCGGCGTGCGTTGAAATGATTCCTGGCGACCAGTAGAAGCATTTAGTGACCACGCAGCTCATCCCCCATCCCACGCTGCAAAGGCTGAGCCACTGGACAAAGGCCATCTACAACAACACCACAGAGACAGCCACGGCCAATTGGCACCCACACAAACAAACACAACACACTCACACACACACACACACGCTGAGTAGAAGACAACAACATCGACTGGGAAACGGAGGCCTTCAATTGCTGGAAAAATGGAAGCAGACGGACTAACCAACGAACAGACAGAGAAGGTTCTCCAGTTCCAGGACCTTACCGGCATAGAGGACATGAACGTATGCCGCGACGTCCTTATCAGACATCAATGGGATCTCGAGGTACGCAGGCAAACATATGCAGACACAGTCGCGGTCGAAATATAAGGGACTCGTCCAATTTACAGTACCCACTCGAAAAAATGCTGACCTTATTATTTTCACAAAATGCTTATTTATTACATTCATTAATTTATTAAATATTCTACAGTTGCATATAGCTACATTATATTTAACCTGACCAGCTTAATAACCATTTATCCCCTTTCTTCCCCATGCAGGTGGCCTTTCAGGAGCAGCTGAATATCCGCGAAGGTCGCCCCACCATGTTCGCCGCGTCAACAGATGTGCGAGCCCCCGCTGTGATCAACGACCGCTTCCTGCAGCAGGTGTTCTCCGCCAACATGCCCGGCGGACGGACAGTGAGCCGGGTGCCCAGTGGCCCCATACCCCGCAGCTTCACTGGGATCCTTGGCTACGTGATTAACTTCGTGTTCCAGTACTTCTACTCCACGCTGACGAGCATAGTCAGTGCATTTGTGAACCTGGGCGGCGGGAACGAACCACGTTTGGTGACGGATCCGCTGGGCGATGTGATGAAGTTTATAAGGGAGTATTACGAGCGGTACCCCGAGCACCCCGTCTTCTACCAGGGCACCTATGCCCAGGCCTTGAACGATGCCAAGCAAGAGCTGCGCTTCCTGATCGTTTATCTGCACAAGGACCCCGCCAAGAACCCCGATGTTGACTCCTTCTGCCGCAACACACTCTCGTCGAGATCGGTCATTGACTACATTAACACACACACCCTGCTGTGGGGTTGTGACGTGGCCACGCCGGAGGGTTACCGGGTGATGCAGTCGATCACGGTACGTAGCTACCCGCTGATGGTGATGATCAGCCTTCGTGCGAATCGCATGATGATTGTTGGACGATTCGAGGGGGATTGCACGCCCGAGGAGCTGCTACGCCGCCTTCAGTCGGTGACCGCGGCGAATGAGGTGTGGCTAAGTCAAGCTCGTGCGGATCGCTTGGAGCGTAATTTCACACAGACTTTAAGGCGACAGCAGGACGAGGCTTATGAACAGAGTTTGCTGGCGGACGAGGAAAAGGAGCGCCAGCGGCAAAGGGAGCGGGATGCGGTGCGGCAGGCGGAGGAGGCTGTGGAGCAAGCTCGACGCGACGTGGAGCTGCGCAAGGAGGAGGTTGCCCGCCAAAAGATTGAACTGGCCACGCTAGTGCCATCGGAACCGGCAGTGAATGCAGTCGGCGCCATCGCCGTCGTCTTTAAGCTTCCCAGTGGCACACGCCTCGAGCGGCGCTTCAACCAGACGGATTCGGTGCTGGTAAGCCCAAAACTAATATGATTTCTCATCAGAGGATAAACCAAACTGTATTGCTCATCTTGTTATCGACTTGTTCATGTTTTCCACTGCATGCCTTTATTACTTAGTCGTTTTATAGCTCACTTATTTCCTCATTTCTTTAATAAGGAGATTTTCACTTGAGGAATTTTCGGAATCATGAACAGAATTTATTACCCAAAAAGCAAACCGAAATAAGACTAGCAATATCCCTAATAACTTGGAGTTCTTATAAAACTATTACATTCTTTTCAGGACGTTTATCACTTTCTCTTCTGCCATCCCGATTCGCCGGATGAGTTTGAGATCACAACGAATTTCCCGAAGCGGGTGCTCTACTCGAAGGCGGACGTGGATGCCGCCGAAGGAGCAGGCGCAGCCAACGAGACGCTGAACAAGACCCTCCAGGATATGGGCCTAAAGAACCGCGAGGTGCTGTTCGTAAACGATCTGGAAGCGTAACCAGCACCACCTACCAAATGATAGCATCATCGTGTTACCAGCTGCAACGCATTACCAAAACTTGAACCAAGTTTTAAGTAGTCGTAGTCAACGTCCAAGTCGGAGGATAGACAGAAACACTATTCCTAATTTAATCATGAATATTAATATAAATAATTGTTTAACAATGTTTAGGTTGATTATTCTCTTGTAATCTACGCACCACCACCCACCCGTTCCTCCCGCAAACATTCACACATAAGTAAAATTCTTTTTCAGAATAATTTCCGTTAATCACATTTTTAGTTTCCTTTTACTTAAGGATTTTTGTTATTTTAGCTGTACTTATACTTCCGTCTATTTTTACAAAAATAGAGCCCAGGTTCTTGTTAATTGACAAAGAGTTTGAATTTAATCTGAATGTGGTCGAATTGAATAAATCGAAGTTAAAAATAATCATTTTTGAGTAAGAGCGATCAAATAAACACGGAAGAGTTAATCAAGACATTTGGTTTGTATAGAAAATGTTTGGTTTTTTTTTACTCAACCATAATGGGTTTTTTGTGTGGTTTCAATTGATATTTCTATTTGCACGTCAGTGAACTTGAATCATTTAATTTTAAAATGTTATTTGCTAAAGATTTAAATATTGATCGGTCTGGCAACGTTTTGACTTGAATTTATCGATATTTTACAGTGATGTGCTTCTTGACTAACGCAGATGAATATATAACAAAAAAAAAATAAAAATTGAACAACTATATATGTGTTACGCATATAAATGACCATTTAATTGACCAGCAAGAAGTAAAATACATTTTAAAACAGAGAACAATATTACACAATTTTCTAAGCACTTACAATTGATATCACTGCCTTGAAAATATAACGAAACTAAAAAAACCAGGGAAAACACGTCAGCTGTCAGCACATGATAGATATCGCTCCCATCTCCAGATTCCTATAGTCATTTGTTAGTCACGAAAAATTGGAAGGAAACGTAGTTGAAATTTCAAGTGTCACGCTGGAATATTTGCGACCGGAGAAGAACAGTGACCAAGACGACAACTACGACTGGTTTACCGACGACGAGAAAACACGTCTGTTACCCGGGAAGAGAAGAAACTCTGGCTTGCGGCCGAAGATTCGGCAGTGGACTTCTAATCTGCTCAACGTCGAAGAGGCTCGCAACATTGCACGCGGCCTACGTCAACCGAAATACCAGAAGCTGTTTCAGCAGGACAAGGAGGATCACCAGGACATCCGTAAAAACCTAAAGACCATGTCGGCACCCTCAACTTCCTCTGTGGGCGATGCTGCGGCCGCCCTCTCCGGCAATCTTCAACTGCCGCCCCTCCGCTCACTCGATGACTTCATGCTGGGATCGGCACGATTCCAGCTGCCCAATCTCAAGGATTTCGAGAAGTGGGGCAATCGGGTGGTGAAGAATCTGTTGTACTACCAAACCAACTACTTCCTGCTCTTCCTTACCATCTACGCCCTGATGATATTCTTTCATCCCTTGAAGATCGTCAGTGGTCTGTTGGTCCAGGCTTTGATCATAGCCGTGATCTGGCAGTTCTTCAGTGGCAAGTCCAAGAACAACTTCATCGCCAGCCGTCTGACCGGAGGAAATGCCAATGCAGCGGAGCAGAATGCCCAGCAGAAGTGGTACATCCTGGCAGGAGCTCTGCTCGGAGGATATCTCTTGCTGCATCTGATGAGCGCTTTGCTCCTGACGGCCTTCACCCTTATACTGCCCTTTTCGGTGACCTTCATCCACGCCTCCCTGCGGTTGCGCAACATGAAGAACAAGCTGGCCAACACCATCGAGAGCTTTGGTCCCGCCACGCCCATGGGATCCCTGATGGATGCATTCAATGTGCGCGCCGAGGGTTATCTCAATTAGGCCCAGCCATGTCTATCACGTTTTTATCGCTAGTTATCCCTGTCAATGTTGATCTTTGCAAAACATAATCCCTGTATTATTATAATCGATCTGATCTTTATTTTTGTATTAAACTATGATTTTATTACCAATGTACGCAGTTATTACAAATGTCAATAAAGTTTTCCCAGGAAAAAATTGCATTATTATTTGAAGAAGGTATGGCAAGAAATCTTATCTCTAAGGGCCAATTGTTGAACTAATTTAAAATCGGTCCTACAAAGTATTTCACAAAAAATGTCTTCTTTAAATGTTTCTCACCCCCCCCTAAATTATGACTAATAAAAGAGCTTAAGCTAATCAGCTACTTACCCAGTTAATAACAATTGCTGACTTACGAAAACACAAATCTTTAAATCAAAATTCAAACCTTTTAATAGTCAGCATAAAAATTAAAGATTTCTTGATAGACATGCTTGCGCTAATTAGCCATTATCAGATCACATTAACAATAGTATTGGCTTTTGATTTCGATTTAAAGTGTTCTCGTTGTTGTTTTTCTCTTCTCTTAAGTGTCTAATGTTTTTAATTGTTCAGGGGATGCAAAGCTGGAGCATTGGACGCGGCGATTTCGGCGGCAGTGGGAGCATCTTCATTCTTACCGCCTGTCTGCGATAAATGCTTGACAAGGTCCACCCAATCCCAGCCACGTTCTCGATCTCCCTTGTGATCGGTTCGTTCCCACTGCCGGCGTTTCTGCGCCTTGGTCAGCTGCTCCTTCTTGGGCTCCTTTTTCCTGGCATCCGCATCGGCGTTGGGATCGGAGATCTTCAGGGCACCCACGCCATCGTCTACGGCTACTACTGCGGGTGCGGATTCGGGCTGACCGGCTGTTAGTTGCTCCAGATTGTCCTTAAGGGCTTCGAACAGTGTGTAGGTCATGCCGCAGCCCAACCATTGAGTGGCTTCCGTACTCAAAGCTGATGTGATCTCTTCCTTCACAGCGGGCAGTCTGTGAAACAACATTAACAACTCTATAAATTCGAACGGAAACCGATATGTGATGTAATAATCTGATTATAATAGTACTATGGAACAGAGAGTTCTAAAACTGATATTGTGTTGATGAAACCAAGAAGTAGATATGACTTATTTGAATCCAAATAAGTGCTGATAAAGAATATAAATACATTTTAATTAATGTATTCCAGCCGTTCACTCAAAATGGCCATATCCTCAGCCGGATTAAAAGAGTTTCTTCAAGAGTCCCAATCCACTTACAGATTCCTGTTATAAAATGTGTTCATATTGATCGTTGGCGCCTCATCCGGATAGTTTTCTCCCCATTTCAGCTCCACCAGAAACGACCTGTAGTTGTCCTCTTCGCCATACTGAAGTTAATTTATAAATAGTAAACATTCAATAATGATTTAAAGCAATCTTAAAATATTTTAAGGTAATATTTTTATCCATGTGGCTTACTTTGTATTGAAATGTGACGCTGTCAATTTCCTTAAAGTTCGTATCGCCCTCGTAAATCGACTGCAAAGCCTCTCGTTCATCTGTTTGTTGTTCCAGTGGCGTGGACATGGTAATTGTGCTATTGCTTATAAATTTTGTTAAAGATATTTATCATTTTTTGATGGAAATAACACAAAATCAAAAATTATGGTTTTGCAACAAAAACAAAAGCAACAGCAACAATCAGCTGGGCACCGGTTGCAGTGTGGCCGTAGTTTTGTACCCGACATATGTCCTGTTCCCACTGTGGAACTGAGCATCCACTTTCAATTTGGTTTTTGTATGGTTATTTCATTGTACTCTCAAACTTTGATACTCATTCAATACCTTATTTGATTGTTCAAAATTAATTTAATACAAATTGTATGAATTCAAGTTCTGTCAACAATTATAAAAAAAATCAAGACACTGTTACGGAACTGCATCTTTCCCGGAGGGCAGCGCCGGCTAGCCACGGAGTCCCAGGGCGGAGTACCCCCTATGCCCTGCAGTCCGAACAATCGATTCCGACTCATCGGATGTCTCACGTCGATTTACCATCTCTAGCACAAATCAAAACAAACAAAACTATGTTTACATTAAGCAACTAAGACAATTCGACGAAATTGGTGGCTTCGATGTCCTTGCCACGACGCACCCACCCAACCTTGGGTGCCCCAAGAGAGATGTGGGAGGCACACCCCATCTCCGGCAGACCGGAGTCTATTCCTGGTGGATTAGGATCGGCTCATCTCCCCGCCCAAGGTAACTCACACAACCATCTCGGTAGCTTGTTTACATTTAATTCTTGGTGAGATTAACAAGTAAATACATTCATTATAGATTCCTACTGATAATCTATTCTTTTCGTTAGAAACTTTAAGGCCGATCTCAGACCGTCGCCCAGATGAGAAGCGGTCAAAGCGGAAACAACTACAAGGGAAATTTTTAGACGCTTAGAGTTCAAAGTGTCAGGCAAACTCGCCACACGGCACTAAATTGGTGGCGTTTGCCAACCGGGTCGCCTAATCCTGAGGAGCTCCAAGGGAAAAGAAGGGACGTGCTGACAAGGTAAGTACGCTAAACAAATCCCACAAGTTATTAAATTTCGCGACCCAATTTAGATATAGTTGGACGCGGGCTAGGGTTCGGGCTTGAGCCTCAAAATTTAGATTAGATTTCACAGTAAGTACTTTACAATCTTGACTGTATGCTATCACAAAACAATAACTAAAACTAATTTATTTCAGAGTTCAACGTCGTATGTGTTGAAGCTGCAGCAGGGAAAACGCTGATGGCGAAAACCAGCGCGAGTCCGCACGGAGCCAGTTGGTCCGGAGGACAGCGTAGCGTGGCCGGAAGCAGGGCGTCGGTGGACTCGGAGATGACCACGTGGCCAGCGCGGGCATACGTTCCCGGAACGGACTCACCGAGGGAATCTCCGTATCTGGCCGTCTTGGCGGCAGTCGCTGTAGCTGCTGCCGCTTGAGGCTGCTGCTGCTGCTACTGATCGCTGCTGCTGCGGCCAATGCTGCTGCGGCTGATGTTGCTGCTGCTGATGCTGCTGCGGCTTATGCTGCTGCTGATGCTGCTGCGGCCTATGCTGCTGCTGATGCTGCTGCGGCTGATGTTGCTGCTGCTGATGCTGCTGCGGCAGGTGGTCGACGACCAGGTTAGGTCCGCCTGGTAAGATTTCACTTCCCAAATGTTTAAATTTCCGGGGCCCTTTAGTTAGGGTCCCCGGCGGCTTCAATGTAAAAAAAACCACTGTAATTTACAAGTTCCGGACTAATAAATAAACACTCACTTTGAGTTATTCAAACACTAATCACGAACTTAAATTTTTGGTCTTTTTTTCTGACCGTTCTCCCACTACTTCTTGCAGCAACTAAAGCAAAACCCTGACCTACACCAAAGTCGCTCGCCATGTTCCCTCCCGCTCTCTCAAGATGGGTCAGCGAACGTATTCAAGGCCATCAAACCCAGTTAACGAGCGAACCGGGCTAAATTTAAATAGCTAGATCCTCTCCCGCTATCAATAGTCGGTGTCACCACCAAATCTTATCGATAGCGGAACCTGCTGACGTATCGGTTCGTTTCAGTATTTTCCCGACGGCTTCAACTGAAAATGCAACACCACCCTGGATTCCGAGAGACGCTAACACAGAGTTTTAGGCTAGCGCAGGAATACTTGGGAGCATTTGGATTAGGACTATTCGGATTCCGCCGGCCTCGATGCCAAGATGCAGTTCCAACGGTGTCCAACGCGGGGCCCACGCTTTACGGGAAGTAGACACATGCCGATTCTGAGCTCGTGTACTTTGTTATTCCTCTTTCCAGATCACAACCTAATGTCCTTGGCATGGTACACTCCGATCGGTCGTCCTTGAAGATCTTCAAGCTCGTACGCATTATTGCCGACTGTCCTGACCACCCGAGCTTTTAGGAACTTCCGAGCAAACTTTGCATTGAAGGCCTTTTTGAAATCGCTGGGGACAAAGTTGCGGCGATACACTTCCTGACCTGGCTTCGCAAGGAAAGTACGAGCCCTTTTGTCGTACCGCAGGCGACTCCGATCGTATGCATCTTCGAGGTTCTTCTGCACCTTGTCATGAATCACTTGGAGTTTATCAGCTGTTCTCATCCCAGACATTTCGTGATCACACAGCGACTTCAACTTCCTTGCCAACTTGTAGCTGGCTCCGTTCAGGAACATGTGTCGTCCGAATACGGTGAAGAACGGAGCTTCTCCAGTTGCTGAATGGACCGCGTTGCGGAGGGCCACCTCAATCTCCGGAAGATACGCGTCCCATTCTCGATGGTCTTCTTCTAAGTAACTTCGGATCGCCGCCAACACGCTTTGGTTCACCCTTTCCGCTGCGTTGCTTTGCGGAGAGTGGACTGGCGTTTTGATGTGCGTGATGCCAAAGCTTTCCATCGCCTCCTCGAAGATCTTGGACGTAAACTGGCGGCCGTTGTCCGAATGCACAATTTCTGGAACCCCAAACTTGTAGAAAACCTCGTGAATGAGGAACTCCACGACATTGGAGGCCGATGCCTCTTGCATGGCCTTCAGAAATGTGTATTTGGAGAAGTGATCCACCACAATGAAGATGTAGGCCTGTCCCTTCTTCGACCTCGGATACTTCCCCAGGAAATCGATGTACAGCTTCTGGAATGGCTGCTCAGTCTGGACTCTCTCACCGATACCAACTTGCATCCGGAAATTCGGGGATTTCGTCTCCTTGCACACTTCACACCTGCGTATGAACTCCCGGACTTGCAGTGCCATGCCAGGCCAGTAAAACTGCCGCCGTAGGTTTTCCAGAGTTTTTCCCATTCCGCCATGAGCTGCCGTTGGATCCGAATGTGCACGCTCAATTATGCTGTGGGTCAGACTCTGGGGAATCCACAACTTCCATTCGAAGCCTTCCACCTCGTCATCCAGATTTGCCGAAAAGACTCTCTTGAAGATGAGACCATCCACTATCCTCAAGTCAGGTAGGTTGGCCAAGTTTTTTTCCACCTCTTGTAGCAATTCCGTGTACTCTTCTCCAGCAAACTCAGTGGTCTCGAAGCCGAGCAACTCTGACGGGTCCACCGTTAGCTCTTCAACACAACGCGAAAGGGTATCTGCCACAACGTTCTCGCTTCCTTTCCTGTGTTCGATGTTGAAGTCATATCCCTGGAGTTGCAATGACCACCGAGCCAGCCGACCCGAAAGATCTTTCATGGACATGAGCCACTTCAAGCTGGCATGATCGGTGATGCACGTGAACGGCATTCCTTCCACATACGGCCGGAACTTTCGAATCGCCAGCAGGGCTGCGAGGCATTCCTTTTCAGTGACGGAGTAATGGACTTGGTGACGATTCATCTTGGCCGAGAAGAACGCTATTGGTTGTTCCTGGCCGTCTTCATCCCGCTGGAACAACACTGCACCGACTCCGATCTGGGATGCATCGCACTGGATGAAAAAGTGCCGCTTGAAGTCCGCATGTACCAGCACTGGCGCAGTAGTTAGGGCCATCTTCAGGGACTCTACTGCCAGCTGTGCTTCTGGACTCAAGGAAAACTTCTTATTTCCCGTCTTTTTCAAAGATTCCGTGAGCGGGGCAGCCAAAGTTGCGAAGTTCTTTATGAACCGACGGTACCAACCTGCGGTCCCAAGAAAGGCTCTCACTTCCTTCATGGTCCTTGGCTCAGGCATCCGCCTAATAGCTGCTACACGTCCTGGATCCATCCGCAGACGACCTCCACCCACTATGAAGCCGAGGTAGGTCAAAGACTTGAAGCAAAACTTCGACTTGCTCAGCCCAATGGTTAACCCTGCTTCCTTCAGGCATTCAGCGACTCGGCGAAGATACTTCAAGTGCGTTCTTATGTCGGGCGCTAGTACTAGCAGATCATCCAAGTAGACGAACACATTTGAGCGGATTTCAGCGGGAATTACTCGGTCCATTAGTCTCACCAGCCTCTGTGATGCGTTGCAGAGTCCGAAAGGCATCACACGGAACTGGTAAAGAGGCCGACCAGGAACCGTAAAGGCTGTGTATTCCTTGCTGCTCGTGTCCAACTCAATCTGCCAAAAAGCGAACTTCAAATCCACGCTGGAAATGTAGTATGTTTGCTCAATTCTGGACAGGATGCCTTCTATGCTGGGCAACGGGTAAGCATCTTTGATGGTCACATCATTAAGCTTACGTGCGTCTAAGCAGAACCGGTGTTTTCCAGATCTTGACACTACGGTGGTGCGGTTACTCCAGGGGCTTTTGCTCTCCTCGATGACTCCGAGCGCTAGCATCTTGTCGACCTCGTCCTCGACCACCTTCTGCTTCGCGGGAGACATCGGATAGGGTCGATCCTTGAACACTTTGGCTCCGTCCATCAGCTCAATAGTGTGTTTCTCCAGACTGGTGGTACCTAAGCCATCCTTCTCGAAAGTCAAGAACTGCTGCTTGATCTCCTCCAGCTCTTGTTCCTCGGCCTTGGAAAGCGTCCAGGACTCGGGATCGGGTTTCTCCTCATCGTCATCCTCGACTTCCGCGTAGTGTTCCATCTCCCTGGCGTGTAATTCTTCGGCCTTCTTCACGCCTTCCGAATCGATGTGGCCTATAATCGCTGGGGCCAGTCCGAATGCTTGCCAAAAATCAACTCCAAAATAAGCTGGCTGCTCCAGGTAAGGACACAAGTAGAAGAGAATGTGCTCTGTCCGTCCTCGGTATTCCACCGGTAACTTGACCCGTCCTATAATTGACCGATCCTCTCCAGAGGCCGTACGGACTGTGGATAAGTACTTCTGGACGGGCACATCCAAGGCCTCGACCAGCTCTCTGCCACCTTTTCCAAGCAGACTCACACTCGCTCCAGTGTCCAACAACCCCGTCAGTTGCTTGGTCAGAACTCGGACTGCGGCGAACGGCCTGGGATCTCGCGATAAACTGCGCCTCACGGCGGCCACTGCTTCGCGTCGGCAGTTCCGACGTTTGCGAAATCGCTCCCTGGCCTTTTGCACCTTGCGAGACACCACACGCATCCCGCCTAACTGGTGCTCTGAGAAGATCCTGTTCCTGGTCTCTAGATACCGCCGCATCCTCTCCGCATAAGGTAAGTATCGTAATGCAAACTTATTACTATTTTTAGAAGGTAAACATTTATCTAACCCTACCAGCTCTTCTTCTCTGCGGAACTCCTGTTTGGACGCATCCTCTCCGCCCTCGGATCGCCCAGCCGACCGTTTTCCGCACAATCCGGACATTTGGGAGACACGGTGTCGGGCTTCCCACATCGGTAGCAGAACACTCTGCGTTCTGTTGCTGCGCAGTCACGGAACCCGTGATCCACGGCTCCGCAATTCCAGCAGCCGGCTCGGAACGGATTTTTAGGCTTCGCCCGCACTTCGTCCACCTCTTGCCACGGAGGATCCTCAGCAGGATCTGGGCCAATCACCTCGCTAACCTTGGCCTTTTCCGCCAGAGGATACCGCATCGGCTGCGTGTACGTGGTCCGTCCACGTCGTCCAAAACTGCGCTCCACCTCGCAGCACTCTTCCCGCAGTTCATCCACCGTGAGCACATCCATCGCGTAGACAAACCTTGCGATGCTCTCCCTCAATCCCTTTTTAATAATCTTCACCAGCTGCCGCTCTGACAGTGGCCTTTTCAGTCGAGCCGCCAACTGCTGCATCGCATGGATATAATCGCCAACTCCTTCTCCGAGCTGCTGCTCCCTCTGTAGAAGTTGGTGCATCCGATCGTGCTCCGTCTGATGGCATCGGAACCTATCCATCAGCGAGGCTCGAAGCTGGGACCACCTGTCCACCCTGCAGTGACGCACGTGCACCCAGTACCACTCCCGAGCCCGCCCAGTGAGCAGCAGGTGGAAGTTTCGGAGCACCTCTTGCCACGGACATTGGCACTGCCGCTGCAGGAACTCCAACCGGAAGAGAAAGTCTTCCACCGAGTTTCGCTCATCTTCCCCGTCGAAGGATACGCCCCACCGCTCAATTCGCCATTGCTGGTTGGCGGCTGCCGGCCCCACCTTTTTGGGCCTTCCGATGGGTCTCCGCCGCCTGTGCCAAAGCCACATTAACGGCCGACCTTGCCGCGGAATCCACAAAGGGATCGTGGAGTCTTGCGTCCTTATCGTCGAGCTGCAATAACTCATCCGCTGCGGAACCAATTCCCTCCAGGATCTGCTGCTGCCTTAGGTCCTGCTGCAGCTCTGTGTCCTGTGGTCCTTTTTGCTCTTGTTGCAGTCCCTGGCGCAAACGGGCAAGTGGAGTCCTGGGCAACCCTTCCGATATGCGCGGCAAGCCAGCCTCGGTAGCGCCCTCCACATCCGTGGACCACATCTTTTCGTCGTCCTCGCCTGTAAAACCTTTCGACCGAAGCAGGTGATCATGCTTGCCTTGTCGCTTTGCCATCTTGAATTTTGATAACCCCTAACACGACTTCTGAAACCCCGAATTCAACGTGGCCACCAAAAGCCCAAATTATGTATAAATAAATAAATAATACTGAATGCTAGTGAATAATAATAAACAATCAATAAACACCACTAAATAATATGCACCTAAATAATACGAATACTTATATTACCAAGCCAATAAATAATAATAATAAATAAATAAAAAAAATAAACCATGAATAGATAAGAAATAAATAAGAAAATATATTAAAGATCCACAAATACCCTAAGGCTAAACAAATTCACACCAAATATTAGCTCTTATCAAAAAACAAGTCCCTCGACTAAATTTCTTTCTCTATTTTTATTTTTTCTTTTCCCAGCCTCAATAAGGGGAGATGGAGCCGATCTCCAGCCGGTAGACTCCGCGCCAGTCGTCTTGCGTCTACAATTTCGTCCGAATTCTCACTAAACAAACCGCTCGTCAACTGGACTAACTTTCAGCTGTGCTGAAAGTCGCCAGTTAAGGACTTCGGCTGTTTGCAGGATCGCATCGGATTTCCTCTTGGACTTTGCGTTTTTCATTCAAGTCGCGGTGGCCGAGCAGCGCGTGACGAAGTCACGGGTCACGACCACACATTTAAGTTTTAAACCGATATGATCTGAAAACGCAAATACCCAGAAAACCCAAGGATCTGCACAAAAAAAACAACTACACTGTAACCCCAAAACAAGACATTCATTAAAATTACGTTAACAAAAAAAAATATATCCCTAATACCTATATCACAGTTTTATCACTGTTTTTGGTTTAACCTTTCGTGCTTATTGCACGGACGACCTGGGATGCGAATCCTTCGATTTTCTTCGAAGAGGATGTCACCGCCAAATCACAGCTAATCCCTGTGAACTGTGCCTCGGGAGCAATTGTCCTACTTCTAGTGGACACGCCTCCCTTTCTTCCTACAAAATTTAAACAACTTTTCTCCACCAGTCCGCATCCCGGTGCAATTGCATGTGTGTCATGCAAGCCACCGTTCGTGGGCTGGCTGGAGATAATAAATATGCGAGACGCCGTCGACTCGGCTATCACATATTTTATTTGTTAAATTGGGCGCCATATTGTTACGGAACTGCATCTTTCCCGGAGGGCAGCGCCGGCTAGCCACGGAGTCCCAGGGCGGAGTACCCCCTATGCCCTGCAGTCCGAACAATCGATTCCGACTCATCGGACGTCTCACGTCGATTTACCATCTCTAGCACAAATCAAAACAAACAAAACTATGTTTACATTAAGCAACTAAGACAATTCGACGAAATTGGTGGCTTCGATGTCCTTGCCACGACGCACCCACCCAACCTTGGGTGCCCCAAGAGAGATGTGGGAGGCACACCCCATCTCCGGCAGACCGGAGTCTATTCCTGGTGGATTAGGATCGGCTCATCTCCCCGCCCAAGGTAACTCACACAACCATCTCGGTAGCTTGTTTACATTTAATTCTTGGTGAGATTAACAAGTAAATACATTCATTATAGATTCCTACTGATAATCTATTCTTTTCGTTAGAAACTTTAAGGCCGATCTCAGACCGTCGCCCAGATGAGAAGCGGTCAAAGCGGAAACAACTACAAGGGAAATTTTTAGACGCTTAGAGTTCAAAGTGTCAGGCAAACTCGCCACACGGCACTAAATTGGTGGCGTTTGCCAACCGGGTCGCCTAATCCTGAGGAGCTCCAAGGGAAAAGAAGGGACGTGCTGACAAGGTAAGTACGCTAAACAAATCCCACAAGTTATTAAATTTCGCGACCCAATTTAGATATAGTTGGACGCGGGCTAGGGTTCGGGCTTGAGCCTCAAAATTTAGATTAGATTTCACAGTAAGTACTTTACAATCTTGACTGTATGCTATCACAAAACAATAACTAAAACTAATTTATTTCAGAGTTCAACGTCGTATGTGTTGAAGCTGCAGCAGGGAAAACGCTGATGGCGAAAACCAGCGCGAGTCCGCACGGAGCCAGTTGGTCCGGAGGACAGCGTAGCGTGGCCGGAAGCAGGGCGTCGGTGGACTCGGAGATGACCACGTGGCCAGCGCGGGCATACGTTCCCGGAACGGACTCACCGAGGGAATCTCCGTATCTGGCCGTCTTGGCGGCAGTCGCTGTAGCTGCTGCCGCTTGAGGCTGCTGCTGCTGCTACTGATCGCTGCTGCTGCGGCCAATGCTGCTGCGGCTGATGTTGCTGCTGCTGATGCTGCTGCGGCTTATGCTGCTGCTGATGCTGCTGCGGCCTATGCTGCTGCTGATGCTGCTGCGGCTGATGTTGCTGCTGCTGATGCTGCTGCGGCAGGTGGTCGACGACCAGGTTAGGTCCGCCTGGTAAGATTTCACTTCCCAAATGTTTAAATTTCCGGGGCCCTTTAGTTAGGGTCCCCGGCGGCTTCAATGTAAAAAAAACCACTGTAATTTACAAGTTCCGGACTAATAAATAAACACTCACTTTGAGTTATTCAAACACTAATCACGAACTTAAATTTTTGGTCTTTTTTTCTGACCGTTCTCCCACTACTTCTTGCAGCAACTAAAGCAAAACCCTGACCTACACCAAAGTCGCTCGCCATGTTCCCTCCCGCTCTCTCAAGATGGGTCAGCGAACGTATTCAAGGCCATCAAACCCAGTTAACGAGCGAACCGGGCTAAATTTAAATAGCTAGATCCTCTCCCGCTATCAATAGTCGGTGTCACCACCAAATCTTATCGATAGCGGAACCTGCTGACGTATCGGTTCGTTTCAGTATTTTCCCGACGGCTTCAACTGAAAATGCAACAACACATTAATATTGTTCTTAGCTTATTTATTGTCAGTGTGAACTCCTTTAATGCATCTCGATAGGCACAGTGAAGTCATCCAATGTTATCGAACCAGTACAGTTCAGTTCCCAGAACAACATAAGAGAACGCAAACAATAACAACATAAAAACATATAAAATGCCAAGTGCGCGGGTGAATCATCGTTGAGCAACAATTAGAATTGATTAACACATGATCGCGCCGCGTTATTAGCAGCGGCAACAACAACTGGGGCAGACGCGAGCAGCGAAAAATATGTCGACAGATGCAGATGCGATTCCCGCTGTGGAATGTGCGCATCTGGCGGAATTCAAGAGATTTCTGGCCACTACGGCGGAAAAAGCAGCGGCAGCCGTGAACGAAGAGGTGGCCAGCCGGAGTTGTGTAACCCGGACGACCAGTGACACGTACAAGGTATCCAGCGAGGAGCGACATGCGGAGTTAGTCTCAGCCATTTGGCAACAGCTGGGCTCTCGAGGATGCCCGGAGCACTTCCGGCTGAAGCTGCTCCACCGTTCCACGCAGCAGCTGGAGCAGGATCTGTGCTTCGCGAAGGAGTGTGAGGTCACCGTGGAGGGTCCGCCGCAGTACGATCTCCTCAAGCTTCAGAAGTTCGTAGCCAGTGAACTGGAGAAGTTCCTCCTGAAACTCACTGACAACTCGGAGGTTGATCGACTTAAGGACTTTGCTGATGACGCAGAGTCGGGAAATAGCGAGTGCCACCAGGAGAAGGAACCCCTGCACACATCCGCTGCTGTGAAGAACAAACCCCGGAAGATGGAGGATCGCTGTGTTTGCCTGGACAGATTTGGCGAGATGTACGGACTGCCGGAGAAAGGTGCGCGTTTCTTTGGCGTCTTCGATGGCCACTCTGGCTCCTTATCCGCCAGCTATGTCACCAGTCAACTACCCCAACTGCTGGCCGATCAGCTTAAGGCGAACCCAAATGTCTCTGACACATCCCCCGACTTTTATCGCAACGCCTTCGAGTCAGCCTTTCTGCTGGCGGACGAGCGCTTCACCCAGAAGAAGATCACCAGCGGCACAACCAGTGTATGTGCCTTGATCACCAGGAATCAGCTGTACATTGCCTGGGTTGGCGATTCCAAGGCTCTTCTAGTGGGCAAACGAACCCAATTGCAGCTGGTGAAACCGCACAAGCCAGAGAATCCAGATGAGCGCAAGAGAATAGAAACAGCAGGCGGCACGGTGCTCCATGCCCAGGGTCAGTGGCGGGTAAATGGCATCCTGAACGTTGCCCGCTCCATTGGCGACTACAGTTTGGAGGCAGTGATCGCTGAGCCGGACTTTGTGGATGTGCAGCTAAGCGAGGCTCACGACTTTCTGGTACTCGGCACCGATGGCCTGTGGGATCATGTTCCGGAGTCGTTTGTCATTGAAACCGTTTACGATTCCCTGGCGGATCCCACCACAAAGCTGGATGACATTCCCAAACTGCTAATAGAGGCTGCCAAGGAGCGGGACTCGCAGGACAACATTACAGCGGTGGTGGTCTTGCTTAAACCTCGTAATCAAATCAAAAATCTATAGAACTTCGAGTCTGAGGCATTGGAAATCCAAGCAGCGAATTTTGTTTTGTTGTTACCCGCATTGGGATGGGTTAATTTGTACAAATTTAAAACCGCTTAAGAGTAGTAGTAGCGAAAAGTAATCTTGAAACATCTCCTTTTGCATGGGACAATATAAACATCATATCAAGTTTCATATAACCAAAAGAGAAACGTGCCAAATATCTTAAAACAAATCACGAATGTATTGCTAGTTTGATATTGGCCGGAATATTGTAGCAAAAATATTTATCGCAATACAACGAATGAATGATTTTAAGCAATATATATACCCAAAGATTACTTTCCGATCCTACAATTATTATTCAACGAAAGTTAACCCAAACCAGCCCGCATTGTTGTTTCGTTTACTGTATTGTTGTAATGTAAATAGCTTGGAGCCGAATCATAATGCTCCTCCCTTTATTGTCACATTCTCACGTGCCTACCGTGGTCCTGGAAATGGCTGCTCCCACTCCCGGTCCACTTGTTTGGTTGCTCGAATAAGCTCAATCAAAATAGTTTGTGGTTTGCCCAGCAGTTGAGGAGATTTTAGGAAGTTAAAATCAAGTCTTGGCTTAAGGCAACTGTTGTTAACACGGATATATATACAAAAGTGCACTCGTACGCACAGAAACATGTTTAAATATATTTTAGATTAGCCTGCAAGCGTATATTTATACACACTGAAGTTGTTTTCGGCCGCTTAGTGCTTCCTGCTGTATGATAATAAGCAAAGCCAAGTACACATATATCGTAGTAGTCCTAGTTATATATACATACGTACATATTTACACCTGTAAACCATATTTAATGATCCCACACAGATTAAGTACCTTTTTATACAAATCTAATGAACCTTTCATGCATTTTATTGAACAACCCAAATCACATTTTTAACGATACACACGTAAATTGATTAAGATTTTTTATTGGAATAATAAAAATAATTCACAGAAATTTCTGGCTTATGTCTAGCTTGGTGGCGGTTGTCCCTGATGTGGCTGATTGTTTGGCGGAGGAGCAGCGAAGGGCGGCGGAGGCGGGTACATGTGGGGATACATTGGCGGCATGGCGTAGGGCATCCCATAGCCGAAATTGGGCACTGGGAAGGGCATTCCCGGCTGCTGTGGCGGCATGTTGAAGTTACCCGCTGCCTGATGGTAGTTCTGGTAGTAGTTGGAGTGCCAGCTTCCCGGATTATAGCTGGGATGGTAGTTGTACTGCTGATCTCGGGGCTGGCTTTGATTGTCCTGCGAGTTGTGCGAATTGGAGAATCTCTGGCTCTGTCTGAAGCTCTCCCGCTGCCCGCGACGTCCGCGCTGTCGGGGAGGAGCCACTGAAGACGCCTCTGTGGCCGTGGTAGCCGTTGTTGCCACCGAGGTAAGTGAATCCACAGAGTCGGTGGAGTTGGCACGATCCCTTTGGTTGCGCTTTCGTCGCGCACTTCTGGCCTCCCTTTCTTCTTCATCATCGGAGTGATCTACGTGGCGCGCAGGTGGTTCCACATCGTGCTCCCACGAAGCATCCGATCCGCGAACTTGCATCAACTTGGAGAGAATCACAAATTGGGTGTGCTCAGTTTTTGGAGCACAGTACACCACGTCGCCAATTGTAATGCCTCTGTCCAGGATCTGTTGGTTAGAGTTGAATCGGACGCAGTATATTGGGTCCGACACCTGACCCAGCACATCGAACACCTCGCCCAGGACCTTGCGACCCTTTTCCAAGAACAAAACCGTGTCCAGATCGAAGAGCATGGAATTGGGCAGAACGGAAACCAAAACGAGCTGGTCTACTATGGACTGAACTTTGCCCAGTTCAACGCATTCATCCTCGGGAACAGTGATCTCCAGTTGATGAATGGGTGGCAGATCTTCGAGAAGCATCTCTCCACGCACTTTTGGCGGCTGGCGTCGACGGGACGGATCTCCCGTGGCTCCGTCTTCATCCAAATCCTCGTCATCCTCATCGCACGCGACTGTGTTGATGCGCTTTTCTATTTTCTTGCGAAGTACAGTTAGGTATTCTCCTTCCGAGTCGGAATCGGAGTCACTGCTACTACTGCTTTCCGAGCTCTCGCCGCCCGAACTCACAGCCACCACTGGACGGTAGGCGGTGGAGGAAGCGGTGTCCGTCACCGGAACTTCCACAACTTCATTGTCGCTGTCCTGCGTCGGGGTAACTATCTCCACATCCGTATCATCAGCATCGGACCCGTAGGCAGCCAATAAACCAAGACCACTTGTTTGAGGAGCTGGGTTAGCCTCTGGAGCGGGTTGCACTTGAGGAAGTGGCGTCTTGTTTGCGGTTGTATGTGCTAGATTTTGTGGAGCGACTAAAGGATCTTTCTGTGAATCGGTTTCCGCCACTGGTGACAATTGGCAGTCCATTTCTTGAGGGGATTCCTGCTCCCCTGCGGGATTTCCTTTGTCCTCGACAGCTTGTGATACTTCGCATTCCATAGCTGCCACCTGCTGCTCCTTTGTAGCACTTTCAACTGACCCCGAAACCTTTTCCTGATCAGAAATCAGGGCGTTCACTGGTGTTGACTCATTATGCTTCACTTGTTGCTCCATTTCTACAACTGCATTTGTAGGTTCTGCATTGAAATGCCAAGTTCTTTATTGTGTTTATCTATTAAAAAGCTTTAGAGCTTACCTGTGGGCTTTGTTTGCACCTTATCTGGTGATACGTCTGCTACAGGAACATTATGTTTCCCCGTTTCAGTTGGTGTTTCGTTACTTTGAGGGTCTTCAATGGAAGCCGAGGCTTTCACAGCCGTTGGCTGCTCACTTTCCATTTTACTTTAATCTGGCAAGAGATTCAGTTAAAAACAACCGAAATCAATGAAAAACAAAACTGAACTAGGAAAACACACGTTGAATACGCGCACGTGTTGTCTTCTTCTTCACAAAAGACCATGCACATTTCAGGTTGTGGTTTCGTGGTGAATGGCACACCATTCAATTGCGGTTTAAATTGAAAAATTATTTCGAATTTTTTCAATTAAAAATTTTCTATGGTTAAAAAGGTTTGTAAGACCAAATATTTTCAAAAAGATCTTAAAAAATTTTTTTTTTATGTTTTTTATTTTTATTCATTTCTTTTATTAAAATCATTTGCGTGGTGAGACGGTATGCACATAGTTCATATATTGCATTAATTGAAAAGCATTATGGTTAAGCTAAAATGGACGCCAACTTAGTTCTAGATATTCGAAGCTAATAATTAAATAAATATTGCACGTTTGTCATAAAAGAAGCTTAAAACTTTGTACACTTTTTGCCCAGAATGCATTTGCTGGTTTTTCCATAGTTTCGTTGTGAGATTTTCCTTGATTATGATCTAAAAAGTACAATAGCTCTCGATATATCGAAAAGCTTACATACAATAAGTCCTTACAAAATAGATTTTTGTGTTTCTTTTCGTTTCCCTTCTAGTCCTATTAGCAGCTAGTAATTGAAATAATGCCTTCCGATAAATTCATGGGTCAAAGCAGGGGTAAAATATCTTATCAAATATCGGTTACAAACATTACTTTGTGCTAAGGCAGAGTTAGATGGAAGATGTTCGAGTGCGAACGAGTTTCACAAAGCTAAATCTAGGTAAATATCAATAGCCCTTAGTTAATATCAATGGTAGCCATGGGAGATATGTGAGAATGATAATGAAGTCCGAATGAAATCAATTGTACAGGTCAAAGCAAGCAAATCAGTTGGAACTCAAGCATTGAGAGTCAGCATCCTTCTACACCTTCCAGTCCAAACGAAACTCGTCCACCAGTAGCAAATGCTGATGGACAAGCCAACCTTTGGGTTTTTATGAAATTTAATTAAGGGTATTGGGGTTATAAAATCAATTTATCTTTACCTTCCTGCTGCGCCAGCGCCAGAAACTCCTGCCACTTGGTCTGTATGTCCCAGTACTTCTCCTTGATCTGCAGATAGGACACTGCAAAGAAGTAAGCCTTGAGCACATCCTGCGGACGCGTGTCAAAGTGCAGATACACGCCCAAACATTTTTTGGTCTCCGCTATGATAAAGTGCTCGTGGGGATCAAAGGAGGATACTATGTTTTCAATGACGCTGCTGCTCTTATACTCGTCAATCATATTCTTCACGCTCAGTCCCAACTTAATGTTCAGTGACACCGAAACCGTCTTTCCAACTGTGACCCGCTCCATGGCGTTGACCTGTAAGGATTGTTTTATTATTATTTTGTTATAGCTACAAGAGTATATATGCTTTGGCTTGCGGAGTTTGCATCTTTTCTGGTTATTTATACATTTGTGCAGCACTCTTTTACTAACCTGCTGTGGACTGAGCATCCTTGATGACCGGAAGAACTCCTCGAGAGCAATCAAATAGCGCGATTCGTTGAAGGTTCGCAGACAAACCGCGCGTACCGCCTTGAGATTGGCGTATAGATGCAGGCTGACTACCACGTAGAAGACGGTGTAGAGGACAGCCTGACTCTTGATCAGCGTTAGGAGATACAGTCCCACAAAGGAGGCCACAAGATTCACGCACGTTTCCTGTGAACTATCCTTGGAGGCCACATCCGCCAGATTGCCACGCAAGGCATGGTGCTGGGTCAATGCCGATCTTGTAGCTCCTCCTGCCACGCCCACAATCGCCTTGAGCATTGTGGAACAGCACAGGATTTGGGTGCTGAAATGCGGATACTTGGGAAGCACATAGATCTCGATGCCCATGGCCAGATCGTTAAGGAAATCGGCCCGCAAACGCCACTTCTTCGAGTCGACATCCAGTTGGGAGCCTTGCCACCAGGCGAAGAGTATTCGGCCTACATGTCCACTGCCCTCCTTTAAAATCCAGGTGACCGTGGCGGAATAGGCATTGATGTTCTCGCTGCCCACGCCGATTCCCTTTAGGATGGCATGGGTGCACAGGGTGCCGCAGATGGTGCTGCAAAAGGCCTGAGCCGTGTCCCAGATCTGATATGCCGCATAATCCTCGCTCACACTATCCGGATAGCCCTTGGGCAGGAAGACCTTCTGCAGCACACGGAAAAGCAGGAACTTCTCCTGGATGACCAGCTTATCGCCACACAGCGGAACCCTAACGATGTTGCTCTGATCTGGAGTTTGGATTTGAGAGGAGTTTTATTTAAATGAGGTATTAAAAGCGGGCTTTACCTAAACCTGTCAGAATTTGTTGTTATTTTGGCTATACCTTAAAGTTTCATGTAGTTTTTACACTAGATTTATTTTTGTTTACTTAGCATTTTATAAGTTATTTTGAAAATCTAATGGTTATTTTTTAATTTAATTAAAATCAAGAAATCTGATATTACCCTATGCAAGAACGATAGGAACCTTAAAGTAGACTTTGTTGTTCTAAAAATTAATTAATCCCAACGTGGCAGATTATCATATGAGATTAGCTTGATTGGGTTGGGTCTATTTAAGCAAACTTAGTTCTTAAACATAAGGAAAACTAGATAGATAGCTGCCATAGAAATAAGGACTCTGCAAGGCTTGTTTTGTTGGTTTGATCGATTTGCTCACCTGCTGGCGTCACATAGAGGATTTCCTCACCCTTCCTTCCGTACTGTTCCCGAAAATGGATTTTCATCTCTCCTGTGCGTTTTTATCGTAGTTCTGTCAGGGAAATTAAGTTTTATTGCCTTTCCGGCGCTGGCTGGCGTTTTCCCTCCAAGTTGCTTTAGGGGAGCTCGACTTCCAGCAGCAAAACACCACCCACCTGGCCACCCACAGTTTTTTTATTTATGTCCGACGTCGGGTTGTCTGTGTTTTTCAGTCGAGAAAAGGCGAAAATCCATCGAATTATCGGAGACCGAAACTAAACTCGAAACAATCGGCGAACGTGGCGTTGTTAAGCGAACTCTAGAACATTGTACAAAGAAGCTGATGGGCCGCTGCTTCAATTAAACACTAGCAACTAATTGTAGTTAAAAATAAATATACCCCAAAACCAATTCCTCCCCACGCCAATGATTTTCCGCACCCCCTCCCCTTTGTGTTATCAGTCAGCTGTGCACGGGTGCGTTTCGTTGTGAGTGCCCCTAGCTGTAGGGTTTTTCATTACCCCTTGAAACGGGCACACTGGAGATTTAAATTCTTGTAACGCTGCTTTTAAAAGAAAATAACTTAATATAAATAAATTAAAGAAACATATAAAGATCATTGCATACTTCTTGCTTACTTAATTGCATGGTAAATATTTTCAAATCATTTATATTAAATTAAACGATTTTCTTCGCCCTATCATTATCGTGCTTGCCTAATTTTCATTTGGTTTTTATTAGTTTTTAATTTAGTCCTCATATGGAATAAATTACCTAAATTTCATGCAAATAAAAAAAGCGGTTAATAGATAATAAAGAAGAAGCATGGCTCAATTGTTTTAACTTATTTTATGGTAAGTTATAGATATGACCCCTTGGATATAGTTCCTACACCCTACCCATGAATTAACAAACCCACCCCCTTCTGTTATCAATCAGCTGTGAGCGTTGCACTGTGAATGGCGTCAGCTGATCAAGATTTCGGTTACTCCCCGCAAACGGTCACACCATCGGCCCCGAAGTTTATAAAAACGAAAGTCCCCGAATGTTGGTCAGCAATAACAGCTCAGCAGACCAAACCAAAACAAACTACAAAACTAAAAGAAGTGACAGCTATATAGCTAAATAACAATTGCCCTAGTGATACAACTTGTAGGGGCCCAGTGTGTGATACAATCGTCTAAATTTAAAGTGTGAAAAACTAAGCAAACTTTTGGCAACCGATTGAAAAACAAATTCCGTTGGTGTGTGCCGAGTGCTACACGAAAACACAAAGGAACACTATAACTACAGCCACCAGAATACAGGCAATGTCATTGGAGGATCTCAAGTCCAAGTTGCGCCGTCATCCGAAGTTAGTGGGCCTGGGCGGAGTGGGCCTTCTTACTGCGTAAGTAGATCACGCCATAGCACCCGGAAAAACCACAACAAAACACGTACTCTAAAGCAGCTGCTACAGGTCTCACTTGGAAAAAGAAACAGCTCGATGTCAAATAACTTGAAATTAATACTAAATCGTAATGAGTTTCTTTATTTGCCTACTTAAAATAACATAAATCCCATCGTAAAAACATTTAAAGTATAAATTTTACACATGCTTAATCAATATTTAAATTGTCCTTAAATTAAAATCTTTAAAATGATTGACTTAACATTTTATATTTCTTAAATAAGAAAATTAAAAAGGAAAAAATAGGAAATTTCGATAAACACTCCCCCAGTGACACACTTACAACTTTTACATTTGTAGCTTACCAAGATTTAGGAGGCTCGTCCCACATACATATGTATATAATTTTGTTGTCCCATTTGAACGGCGCCACATGGCACTGAATAAGTCGTACGATCTAGATATACTATATATATCGTGAAAAACAAAAACAACAACAGATCTTGTTTTCCGCATTCCCTATACTGAATAGGTGTTGTCGCACATGTAACGTCATTTGTTTACATCAAATTACGCGATGATTAGTCAAGCTATACCAATACCTTAATGAAAAACTGTCCACAAACAAAAGGTGTTTGGTGGTATGATTTTAAATAATAAATTGATAATGATTGTAAGATTAGCATAGACAGTTTCAAGGAGTAGGGATTATCATTGAATTATAATTGAAATAACAGCCAAAAATATTCTATACGTTATTATAATAAAAGGCAAAAACATTTGTTGAGTATTTAGAGGATTTTTCTGGTTTTAAATCGCTTACATTTTTAATTAAAAAAATATTTGAATAACATAAATAATAATACAAATAGGTTAATTTAGAATTAAATAAATATTTTAGAGTATATTCATAGTCTTTAACTGACTCATATAGCCTGACTCTTTTATTTTCTTACCAAAACACGATCAAAACAAAACGTACGATTTTGTAAAAGTGAGATAGCAAGCTAATGAAGTTTTTTTTGTTTTTGCCCCGCTTCTTCTTATTCAGCGTGTGCGTGAACAGCTGTTCAAGGCCCCCCAAAAAAAAAAAGAAAAACACTGAAAAAATGAGTGTGCCAAAACTATCATGGCGCCATAATAGTGCGCAGTTTAAAAATATTTGTGAGAGCCCCCGCGAATTTTTAGATCCCCTTATCACCAGTGATAGTACTAATGTTTTTCTTGTTATTTTTCTGGGAATATCGCAACTATGGCGCGTGTTTTGGGATAATGGGATAGTTGTTTTTGCAATCGGAGGTGACGCGCCCACTTTTTTAAAAATAAAACAAACTAGTCTTTGGTTTCGTTGTTGTTGTTTATCTCACGTTTATCTCAATAACAAATAGTTGGCAGCTTTAGGTGTTGTTGTTATTTAAGGTCAATTAATCTGAAAAAGAACAACAACAAATGAAATAAAACGGAAGTTCCGATTGATAAGAATTTAAAAGGTTTTAAATTTAAATAAACTTTTTCCACTCTGTTCTATATAATATAGTGTTTTTTATTTATTAGTTGGTATATTCTTTGAGTAGCTAAAATTATTAAAATGGAAATAATTAAAAACAAATAAACTAAAAAAATGTGAAGATATAATACTTAAAAAGGTGCTAAATGAAAGTCAATAAAACAATAATAATCCAAATGGATAAAATGGTAAACAACAACAAACTGTAAATAATTGTTAATTTGACATTTGTTGGAAAAACAAATGGTTGGCAGCGATAATTGTTATTGTCCTAATTAGATAATTAAATAACACAAGATATTAAAAATGGGCAAAGCTATTTAAAAAGTATTTAATCATTTTTAAACCGGTATTTGGTTTTGGAGATAATAGAGCAATTACTTAGATAGCAATTGAGCAATATAAAACAATTAGTTAAACAATAACTACTGAATATTATTTTAAGTAAACCAAAGTCATCTGTATTCTTACAAATATTTAAAATAATAATTCTTGAATTATCTCCTTTTCCAGTGCTGGATTTTTGCTGTACGAGTCGCCGCAGGTGCGCAGGTTCCTCTCTCAATATGTGGACAAGAAATCACCGGAGCCGGACAAACGTCGCGCCGAGTACATCTACATCAAGTACCACATTTACCGCGAGTCCATGCGAAAGCTAAAGCAGAAGGAGGAGGACGAGAAGAAGTGGATCAGCGTGATCATCAATCCGATTGGAAAATGGTGGAAGGCGGCCAAGCACTCGGTTGCCTGGCGACTGCTCAATATCGCCCAAACTGGCAGCCAACCGGAGCGCCTAAAGGCGGTGCAGCAGCTCATCTGCATGGATCACCTCAAGGACTGGGATTTCCGTCATCTGGCACAGATCTGTGATGCCCGCACCGCCGTCTCCTTGGCCCGTTGCAATGCCGACACGCGCTGGTTCATGCCCGTCCACCGACGCGGCTGCATCAAGAATCCCAAGATGCTCCTGTCCGAGCTACATGTGATGCTGGCCCGCCTGCGTCCCATGTCCTGCGTGGACCACTTTTTCAGCAAATACTTTCCCGAGCAGGATCCCATTGTAAGTACATTTGTAGTACGTTATTTGCATAAAACTAAAGTCAATTCTTTGAATTTTGCAGGAGGACATCCATGAATACTTGAGCCAGGAGCAGACCATTGTTCTGTCCACAGCCGACACAGATTTACTCAAGGAAATCATATCTTTTCTGCACCACATCACCAAGGATCCCGAGACCTCTGCTAGGATTATCAGAGACGGAGGCCTTGTACATCTCATGGAGCTGCGAAAGATATTCAGCGACGACAACGAGACCTTATCGACTCTCTGCAAAGTGTTGGCCAACATGTCCATGGTTCCCGATGCCGTGGAACATTTCTTTTCGTCCGGTTGGGTTGGCGCCCTTGCCGAATGGCAACAGTGCCCCGATCTTCGCCTGCAGGTCATCTCGGCCAAGACAATGGCAAACCTGGACTACGACGATCCCAATCAGTGTACCTACCCGCCGAATGTTTATCCGCTGCATCCCCGAGTTCGCACACGCAGGAAGCCCAAGGCAGACATCGTTTTCGTCCACGGATTGTTGGGCGGAGTGTTCATCACCTGGCGCCAGCGGGATAGAAAGCCCACGGAGCTGGGTCTCTACGGAAAGAACGCCTTCTACACCAGTGAAACGGACGATGTGTTTCTGGTGGGCGAACAAAAGAGAGTCAATGGCAACAAGCAAAAGAAGGAGCAGGGTAGACCATTGGTTACCGCACAAGCCGAGGCTGCCAAGAATGGCAATGTAAATCCCAGGACAGAAACAATCAAAGGTAAATGGAGTTGTTAGCTCTAGCTTATCCTCATCTAATTCGACCTTATTTCACTATTGCAGATCCTGTCTTAAAAGCCAGCAAGAAAGTGGAAGAACGGAAGTTGAACATCAGCGATGCGGCAACAATGGAATTCGTGGAGACGCTGAGAAACGAAGCCGAGTTGGACTCGGACTGGGAAGTGGTGCACCCGGATGTTCCGCTAAATGCCAGCGAAGACTGCGTCGGAAAATTCAGTGTATCCGGCAGCGAGTGGCGAAACCAGGACACCAGCGAGGAGTACACCAACTGCTGGCCCATGGAATGGCTGCCAGACGATTATCCAGATTCCAGAATTCTCGGCATTGATTACACTTCGGCGGTCACAGAGTGGTCGGCCAATTTCACAAAATACTGCCCGTGCGAGAAGGGTCAGGGTCACATTGATGTGAGAGCTAGCACGCTGCTCGATAGGATCTCGGCCGCGGATGTGGGTAACGATCGTCCGATTGTGTGGATAGGACATTCCATGGGCGGCCTGCTTACCAAGCTGATACTGCTGAAATCCCTGGACTCCCAGGAGTCGAAGGTCCAACAGCTCGCCAAGAACACCAAGGGCATTGTATTTTTGGGTACCCCTCACCGTGGTTCACCCATCGCCAAATGGAAGCAGCACATGCAGATGATACTCTCGCCCTCCATTGAGGTCAAGGAGATGGAGGAGAACTCGCCGAAGCTGCTGGAGATGCATCGCCGCTTTATGGGCTGCCTGCACACGTTCCTTCGCCATGTGAAGGTCGTCAGTGTGGCTGAGGGATCGCCCACCATGCTGACCACATTCAAGTTTCCACTGCGCATTGTCACGGAGGAGTCCTCTAAGATAGATTTCGGGGACTTCTATCTGCTGAAGGACGACCACTTGAGTCTCTCCAAGCCGATTTACAGGCAATCGTTCCTCTATCAGAGATTGTTGCATGTGATTCGCGAGGCCGTCAAGGAGAGATCCGATCCCAAAGAACAGGATGGTCAATCGCAAGTCTCTCCAAAAGAAGATCTCGTGCTCATGAACATCGTGGCTGCTTTGCTGAAGGGAGCCAAGGGTCTGTTTGAATCGCTGCCCCGAGTCGCACTGAGATTTAGCACTTAAGAGGCGCTATTGCATACCCCGCTACATGCCAGTACCTTAATAGTATCCCCATTAGTCTATAAAGAACTTTCAAAGTATTTTTCCCAACAGAGCCGAGCTTTCAGTTGGGGCTATTGCTTTTCCACACAACTTATCACCGTCATGACCAGATCCTTGTAAATACTCACGCACTCCATGTAGTTTCTTACTCCCGAATCCTAATTTATTATTCTCGGCTTATGACTTAAACATTTAAATAAATGTATATGTTTTACACAAACAAAGTTTACTTTTAGTTGGGTAAAAGATATTTTAGAGGCTGAATACTTCCGAAAACAACTTTTCTCTTAAATTTCAGAAAATTAGGAAAACATACGGGTCGGTCACTGGATTTTCTTCATGCAGATATGTATTTGAGTTTTGAACAGCTTTATACTTTGCTTACAGAATATATTGAAATTTAAAAATTATCCTTATCAAGATTAACATTTATAGTTTATAAATATGTATACGGTGCTCTTTGAGGCCATTCCCGTTAACTGGGGTTTTGGGCCTCCTGCTCCTTTTTGGCTTTTAAACGTTCCTGTGCCAATCTTCGGTTCTCCGCAATCCTGGCCATTTGCTCGTTGGACAGTTTCTTGGCGGCCGGCGTTGGCGGTTGCGAGGGAGGCAGTGGCTGGCCATAGTCACTGATGTCCATCGAGGCCAACGGAGCTCCGTTCCGATCGAAAGTAGGAGCCACAGGGGCTCCATTTCGGTCGAAAGTGGCAGCATTCACCGCAGAGTAAGGAGTGGACATCACGGCATTGCCACGGGAGAATGAAGGAGTGACCAGCGTACTGTTGCTGGAGGCAGTGGACATTTTCCTCTGATGCGGCGTGCGTGTCGCCAGTCTGGACATGGCAATCTGCTCGCCCAACAGGGCATCGAACTCATCGAAGGGTTCGTCGCCGGCTCCGCCCTGCTGATCTTCCTGCGCCTCCTCCATGGCCTCTGCCTCGTGGGCGCGCATCTCCTCCAGCTGGCCCAGACGATACCGCGTCATGTGCACCTGGAGCGATTTCTTCTTGCCCAGCCGCTCGATATTGTTGAGTACGTCGTCGAAGGTGTATGTGGGATACATGCGATGGCCCCAGTGCTGCAGGCGCCGCAGAACCTCGTCAAGATCGGCTTTCTCATACCCCTTGCCCTTGAACTTGACGTCTTTAAAGTAGTCCTCGATGGTCTGTATGCCACGGGGACCGCGGAGTGTTTCGACCGTAAGTCTGGGGCGCGGATTTCTCACTGCCCGCTTCTTGGGCTCCACTTTCTGGCCATCTTGGCTACCAGGTTCTGCGGCGTTGTCGTCATCGTCCGCAAACAGTTTCTCGCCTTCGCCGTCGCTGGGCAACTGATCCGGATCCACCGGCAGATTGTCATTGAACAGGTCATCCACACCATCGTCGCCAAACAGAGACGCCATGGAAGACAACTATTGGAATGCGCAATGGCCACTCCAAACTCAGCGACAACAAAAGAAATCTAACGAAATTTTGCCGCCATTTTCTGCTTCTTCCATTTTTGCAGTTCACAGGCGACGCTTGCATAAGTTACAGGGCTGCCAACTGAATGACTCTTTGTTCTCTTAATTTTTCTATTACATAACTATTTGGACATATTGCAAAGCTATTTTACTAATTGTAGTTACATATTCATAAGTGGGTGGCGTAGAATGTGATTTGTACAGCCACCCGTCTTTTGCATTGGTGGCAACAGAAAGTAGAGATGGGAGCGTGACACGTCTTTCAGACAAAAGCCGAGAAATTATGAATGTTGGTTGGTTTTAGTTGGTTTTAGGTAATTTTAATTATTAAAGAGATCTAATATAATATTAATAAAATATGTTCCCCAATTACTTAGAGAAAATGTATTTCGCTAAAATGTTGTTTTTTTACAAGTGTAATGGCAAATTTAATATGAGGAATGTACCAGGATACAAGTACAAAATATAGCAAAATGTTAAAATTAGAGATTGTATTTGTGTTAAGATCGGCGAAAGCTTCACTGCATATAATTTTGCTGTTAAATGTTTCTAAAGTGCTACTAAACACTACAGTTTCGTTACAGATAAAATAAATATATATGTTAATAAGTAGTACAGTTTCCTACAAAATGGATTATTATAAGCACGTCGTGAATTACGTGCCCAGGCACAAGTCACGAGCAACTCTCATCTCTAGGAGCCAGAGCAACTCTGCGTATCGGCTGGCCTGGCAACGCCAAAAAAACGCCATACTTCCAAGAGCATTTTTCGGGGCGAGTTTACATTTTGCGGATAATTGTGGAAAAAGCGGTAAAAGAACGTGCTAACACAAACCCAAAAATCGCTGCCTATATGTGGTCACCACGTGTGACAAGAACGCCACGTTTAAAACGCTGAAACCTTTAACTTCTGGCCAAAAAAAGAGCGGTTCTCTGCGAGGGCGAGCAAAGAAAATTAAGTGTGGTGGGAATCGGAATCGGAATCGGGATTCTACGCATTGTACGCCGTATCAGCTGAAGAAGAGATTGTGTGCACCTCAAGCGACGCAAACAAAACCAAATCAAAACAAAACAAAAGCGCTCGGATAAGTATGAGATCGTAGTAGGATCAGTACAGACCGCGCAGAATTCACTTCGACCGACATGGAGAAGCGGTTCAAGTGGCCGATCAAGCAGCGGGCCAACCATTCGGAGTCGTCGCCCTATCACCACAATCCGTCGCGTGGCTACCAATGGCATCAGCACGGCCATCCCAATCAGAATCAGACGCTGCACGCTCATCAGCATCAGCAGCATCCCGGCAAGGGTTATGCGCGCCGCCATCACGGACCCAATAGCTATCGCAAGCCACTGGCGCCTCCGCCTCCGCCGCCCCCTCCTGATGTTCAGGTGGGGGGCGGAGCCATGGCGCCACCCTCTTCCGGCGGGTCAGTGGGTGCTGGCGCCGATGTGGTCACCCTAATCATAGAGAACAACAATCTGAAGCGCATGATTGTGCTTCATTTAAAACTGATGCAGGAGCAAACCGATAGTTTGGCAGCCAAGGACAAGGATCTGGACGAACAGAATGGAAAGATGGGCATTGTGCGTGCGCAGAATCAGGAACTAAAGCTGGCTGTCGCCAAGCTGGAGGCCGAGAACGAGGATCTGCGCAAGCAGCTGCGAAGGAAAAACCAGCGGCGGAACGACGATGACGACGACGACGATGATCACTTACTGCCACCTGCTGCACCGCAGCAAAAGGTGATCCGCTGCCATGCTGAGACGCAAACTTTGCTCCGGGAGCGGGAACAGAGCACCCAGACGATTGACTTTCAGCCGCAACAGGCGGAGGTGGAACCCCGAATCCTGTCGGTGGAACATTTGCCAGCTGTGCCCCTTCATGCTGGTGCGGTCACGAATCAGCCAGTCACCAAGCGCTTAGAGAGCAAAGGACGTGGCGAATTTAATGGCAAAAAGGTCAGCACCTTCATCCTGCAGCGCATGAATCAGGACTTTAAGCATCATATCCAGGAGGAAAAGGATCATGGGGAAGAGCAGACGAAGCAGGAAGACGAGGAGCATTTGCCGGAGGAGGACGACCATGTTCGGGAGGAGATTCACCTGCGGGGGGACGACGACCATCTGCAGATGCAGGAAGTGCAAGGTGAGGAAGTCGTCGGGGGCGATATCTTCCACGATGCTCTGGACGCCATTGAGATGGAGGTGGTCAGCGAGGAGCTGGTGGATTTGGAGGAGCATGTACAGTCTGTGGATGCCAACGGCCATATGGAGGAAGTCGATGACGAAGAAGAGCAGGAGGATTCGGAGGAAGAGGACGATAGCGAAGAGGACGATGAAGACGAGGAGGATGCCCAATCGGTAACCAGCAATATGGTTATACACTATCAGCCTGAGAGCGATCTCTGGCAGAATCAGGTAAGTTTGGTGATATTTATCCATTAAACGATCATGTCAAGCAAACCCATACTCTTGCAGATAAACTCTATGGAATTGGATATGACGGACGAGAAGGTTATAGCGCCTTCGGCCCATTCAACGCCCAACCATCAGCAGAATTCACTGGCGGAGGTTAGGGAGGAGGTGGAAGAGGAGCAGGGTCGCATAGGCGATGAACAGATGCAACTGGAGCCTGAACAAAAGGTGGAAAAACAATTGGATCAGGAAGTGGAGGCTGGTGACCCAATGAAGGTCGACACCGTCGCGATCGAGGCAGAAAAGATGAGACAGGAAAAGTCTGAGATAGCAGAACATGCACTGAAAACGCTGCTTTTTCTGCAAAACGTCGCGCTCAAGAAGAAAGAGCAGGATCAGCAGCCAGCAAGCTTGGAGTTGTCGGAAACACCTAAGGAGCAGAAACGGCGTCCGGATGAAGCCACGGAGGATCGCAGAGCAATCAAGAAGCATCAGGAAGTTCCCCAGGAGCAAGAGACGCACCAGCAAGTTTCTAAGGTGCAACACAAGCATCACGATGTTCCCAAGGAGCAACATACGCGTCACGAAGTTCCCAAGGAGCAACATACGCGTCACGAAGTTCCCAAGGCGGAGCCTAAAACCCCAGATCATCCCAAGGCCCAAAAGGGGCAGGATACGCAAGGGGATGATCGCAAGAAACAGCTAGAGGATGCACGCAGGGAACTTATCAAGAAGCAACCGAAAGATGTACCCGAACAGCTTCCCAGCGCGGTGGCGCCTAAAGTAGCTGCGGTTACGAACCCATCTGCTAAGCAAGCCATGTTGCCAAAGGCTCTCACCGCTGATATAAAAGGTTTACCTGCTCAAAAGACTGTTGCCAACCATCAGTCCACAAAGACTCAAACGGATCCATTGAAAACGCAGCGTTTACAAGTTAAGATCAGGCAGTATGAATTGTTCTCTGACAAGAAGGTCAGCTCCTCCGATTCGAGGAAGCGCAAGAACAATGAACACGATCAAGAGCCTGAGATAAAGATCAAGAAACATATGTTGGTTAATGACAAGAAGAGTGTCACGGAGAATGCTAAAAGCCAAGATCAGGACTTGGACCACGTGGAAACCGTGAAGCGGAAACTGGCAGAACATTTAAAGAAGGAGCTCCTTAGCCAGTGCCACCAGTCACCAGTTGCTGTTAAGAAAATTGTCAAGGAGAGGACGGTCACAAATCTAATTTATCCACCACCAAATACATCCGTATCTTCTACCACAATAACCCCAGCGCCCACGCCGTCAACGACACCCACGCCGGGCTCCACGCCTCAGCCGACACTCACATCCTCTATGGAAGTGGAAATAACTGCGGCAAAATCTAAATCGAAGGCAGCTGAACAGATAGCCACTCCTCTGACACCTCAATCCAATAGCAGCGTTAGCAGTAGCACTTCCACAACCCGAAAAACTCTTAACAACTGTTTACCCCACACGTACAGCAAGGCAACGGCGAGATCGGGAAAATCAAAGTCCATATTCCGCACCGCCACGTTTCCGTACAGCACGAGAACGTGGGAGGATCAGGAGTTCCACTGCGACAACGAGTTCTTCCTGGAGGAGGCCGACGAGCTGCTGGCAGACAATCCTAGTCTGGAGATACCCAAGTGGAAGGATATCCCAGTGCCGCCCAGTTCCGATAAAAGTGATATAGAAGCGCTGAGCGATGCCGTCTTCGAGCGTCGGCATCAGAAGTATGTGAAGGATGAGATCGATCGAAAGTGCCGGGATGCACGGTACATGAAAGAACAGATACGGCTGGAAGGGTTAAGGATGCGTCGCAATCAAGACGAGGTGTTGGTTGCGCTTGATCCCCTGCCCACGTCCACCTTCTACCCGCTGCCCGAGGACATCGAGGGCATCCAATTTGTCTCCGAGGTCCCAGTTCAAGCGTTCGGTGAAAATGTGGTCAACATGGAGGCGCGAGATGATTTCGGAGTTGCCTGGGTGGATGCTGTCGAGGCGCCTACCTCCATAGCCAGGTCGAAGGCGCTTGCTGAGCCGGTGGCAACGTTGGCCAGCAAAAAACTGCCCACCACCGCCGCCGAGGCGAGGCATCAAGAAAAACACTCCTCCTACGTGTTTCCAAAGCGACGCAAGCGCCAGAAGAATCGTTAGCCTGTTCGCCCCTGGAGGATCTGCTACGGGAGCTGAGCTGACGAGTGGCGGTTAAGCGGAAGACGTTGCGTTTACCATGCTGATGATTTTCATTTTCTAGTTTTTAGTTACTTCTTAAGCGTGAAAGTGAGAGCACCAGAGTTAACAGTAGAGAATCCCAGAGATCGTCAAGTTGTCATGTAATCCAGATCAGACGATGTTGATTGTATATATGGTTCCAGAGCTTATTCCTTTTTTATTTGTGTTATGTAAAAAGCGGAAAAGTTGAAGACATTTTTTTTGTACCTTTTAAACGTTTAAAACTCCACGAGAGATCATTAAACGACTGCAAATTGAGGTATCCTATTCCAACATTTTTTATACAGAATTGTTATTTTTATTTCAATGAAATATTAAAACGCGGTGTATAAGTTCAAGTCAAATTTATTGCAGACACAATATTTTTCAACTTCTTAAACCTTTTGTCCGTCGCCTGGTCTGGAAATGTTTAGTTTTAGTTACCATCTTGCAATCCGTAGAAATTCTAAAGAGTTTCATTCTAGCTTTTTGCTAACTTACGTAATTTACTTAGGGTCGATTTCTCAATGTATTGTTAAGTTATTTTCCAGCTTCAAAAACATTTACTTTCTCAAAAAAAAAAAATCATTTCATGTTAACTTTGTCAGTCAGATTTCAAACTAAAACTTTGGGAAATCGGCCCTTAGTCCCACATAATGTGTAATCTAATCCAGTCGATAAGTTAGATCGGATAAAACATCTCAGCTTTATCACCTTTAAGATCGCCCGCACTGAAGTGATAAAGAAACAGAAAGGATATAATGTTCAATGGGCTGTTTTTTGGCGAAACACAATGAAATTCGTAGACTTCTATTTTTAAATATTTTTGTCCTAGCTCGTATAACACATTTTTTTTGCCTTTATTTATACTATGTTATGTCAAGACGATGCTCTAATGTAGACAGCGAGTGTGTTGCGAAGAGTTACTCAGGTATATCTCTGATAATTTTTTTCTTTTTTTTGATGGTTTGATTGTCTGTAAAAATTGTGTGCGAGTTGTTGTCTGCTTAGAGCTATTGGATTTTACTTTAAACTTATTGTTTTATTTTATTAACTTCTTTGAACTTGTTTTATGTTTTACCAAAAAACAAAAACGGTCGTGAAAACAAACAAGATTTGGAAAATAAATATGAACCTGATTCCCAAGCTGTAAACACGTTTAGCCCGCACAGGCACCATATATTCGGATAGCATTATTTTCATTTAGCACGTCTTCTGTTTGACTTACGGCTTACGGTCGCAATGATAAGGAACCTGCCAACGTCCGGTGGAAATCAAATCGCCAGCTCGCCTTCGAGTAGCGCCTCTATTTTTGTACATTTCTGTAGGTGTAAAGTCGGTTATTTGTAATATAGCGTTAAGTAGGCACGCATAGAGAGGTAATTATAATGTAACAAAAAGAATATGATACATTGTACATTGTCCAGGACGAGAAGAAGGTAGAACGTCGTTCATCACCCCATTTACACCATTCAATGTAATTAGCGTTAATTAGTTCAATTTACTGAAGCTTCAACTGAAAACCAATTCAAAATTAATGCCACCACTGTAGAGCCCAAAACAAACACACCTACGCTAAGAAAATATTGTACTACATACAATGTATTTGTATTTGTTTAACAAGTTTTATTGTAAAGATAATGATAAAAATATACCGGATAAAGTAAATTGTAAAGCAGCAAAATGCAATCAATACTTGGACTCGCAACTTATTTTGCACAGGTGATATGTTAATGAAATTCTAATAATTGACAGTTGGTATTAGAATCGCTATTTAGCAGGCCTTATTCGGTTCTCTGAAGGACTTGGTTCACATACATATATGGTACTGGTTTTCATAGTTGCCTTTTTTGTACGGACATTTTACGTAAACGTAATTTATCAGAGCTTAACATTAGTTTATAGAATTGTATAATTGCTTTCGACATTCAATAATACTTGAGGTTTTTTTTTTTGAAAACCAGAAAAGTGTATATAAAAACAGGTAAAATATTTATAAAACCCGGAAAAGGCCAGCTGGATTCTATATTATTTGTTGCTCTGCGTCAAGTACTGATGTCCGGTGGTCGCCCACAGCTCATCCACATCCTCCAGGCTTTCGCGCCAAAGCTTCTGGAGGAGTTTCCACCCCTGTTCTTGGGTCACCAGTAGATAATCATTCGTGGGATGCAATGTGTGGGTGTAGAGACCCATCACCAGGCTCTGAACCAAGCGGGCAGCCACACAATATTTGAGATGCGCCAGTTCGGAGTTCTCAATAGGAATGCCACTGGTGTAACCGGCCAAAAAGATGCCTCCATTGGCCAGATCGTTGGCCTGCAGAATCATATAGGTGAGGGCGACTCCAACTTCGAAGATTAGTGGCGATTTGCTCGTATCCCCGAAATCAATCACTCCCTTGATGGTGTATTCGGTCTGGTTGGGGGCCTGCTCCACCACAATATTTTGCTCGTTGAAATCACCGTGGATGATCTGGTGCTCCAAGGTGGGCAAAATACTCAGAACCTTCGCCTCGAATGCATCGATCACCTCCTCGCAGATGAGGCGGCGCTCCTGGTCCTTGACCACATACAGAAATTGCCTCAGTTCCGGAACACTCTGCAGCATCCACAAGGTTTTGTGGGTTTCATAGGCCTCGTGGGTGAAATTCTTCAGGGCTCGATCCAACCTGGCCAAGTATTCTCCGCTGCGGTAGAGCAGATGCTTCGTCACGGGCACTTGGTGGAAGATTTCACCCGGTATATATTCCAGAAGCCGCACCACATTCGAATTTCCGTTTAGCCGCTCCACCGAGTAATATTTTCCAGTGGCATTGGCTATCGGCCTGGGGCACTTTACACTGTGTTTTCCTAATAAATCGTGATGTTAGGTTAAACATTTTAGCTTAAAAAAAAATGAAATATTTATATTTACCCAAATAAAGAAGAAGTTGATTCTGGCCGTCCACAAAGTCCACCTTCTTGGAGTCCAGGGAGTTCAGGATCTTAAGGACATAGCCGTGTGGACAGTGGGTCACAATTAGGGGGTTCTTAACATTGCTGTAATGGTAAACAAATTTATTGTCAATGAGCCAACGGCATTGATTTAAAACCAATAATATTTAAAACTTAATAAATGTCATACTATGAGAGGTTATGAATTGAATCAATATAAATACATGCCTTGACAAAATATATGATACTACAAAAAACAATTTAAAATTGACTTGATTAAAACGGTATAAAAGAATTATTTAAAAATCCCGTTGCTATATTAAAACAGTGTTGACTAACATTTAAACAGTGTTGGCTAACATTTAAACAATTCTATTTCCAGGTGAATGGCAACTTTGTATTTTTAAGTAGCGCACTACAGCCACACTAACGCATTGGCAACTTTTTGGCGCTAAAATCGGCGATTTTATTGATTGTTGTTCTGTTTATATGTGTTAATATTGTTAGCCCAAATCATGGGCATTACCGGTTTGATACCCTTCGTGGAGAAGGCCTCCTCGCGATTGCAACTGAAGGATATTCGGGGCAGCACAGTGGCCGTGGACACTTATTGCTGGCTGCACAAGGGAGTTTTTGGCTGCGCGGAGAAGTTGGCCCGCGGCGAGGACACGGATGTTTATGTCCAGTACTGCCTTAAGTACGTGCAAATGCTGCTGTCCTACGACATCAAGCCCATCCTGGTGTTCGATGGTCAGCACTTGCCGGCCAAGGCGTTGACCGAAAAGCGGAGAAGGGATTCCAGGAAGCAGAGCAAGGAGCGGGCGGCGGAACTCCTGCGATTGGGACGCATCGAGGAGGCCCGATCCCATATGCGCCGCTGCGTGGACGTCACCCACGAGATGGCCCTACGCTTGATCCGGGAATGCCGCAGCCGGAATGTGGACTGCATTGTGGCGCCCTACGAGGCCGATGCCCAAATGGCCTGGCTCAACCGAACCGATGTGGCCCAGTACATCATCACCGAGGACTCGGATCTGACGCTCTTCGGGGCGAAGAAGATAATCTTCAAGCTAGACCTCAATGGCAGCGGTTTGCTGGTGGAAGCCGATAAGCTTCACCTGACCATGGGCTGCAAGGAGGAAAAGTATAACTTTGAAAAGTTCCGTCGCATGTGCATCTTATCCGGCTGTGACTACCTGGACTCACTGCCTGGCATTGGACTGGCCAAGGCCTGCAAGTTTATACTCAAAACGGAACAGGACGACATGCGAATAGCACTAAAGAAAATTCCCAGCTACCTCAATATGCGCAATCTAGAGGTGAGTCGATGGACGGTTATTAAAAGTCCCAAGTATTAAAACAACTCTTTTCTCAGGTAGATGACGACTATATTGAGAACTTCCTGAGAGCGGAGGCCACCTTCAAGCACATGTTCATCTACAATCCTCTAGAGCGTCGCATGCAGCGATTGTGTGCTTTGAAAGATTATGAAACCGATGAACGCTACTGCAGCAATGCTGGCACCTTGCTGGAGGACAGCGATCAGGCCCTCCATTTAGCCCTGGGCAACCTAAATCCCTTCTCGCTCAAGCGTCTGGACTTTTGGACACCGGAAATGCCGTGGCCAACGCCAAAGAACGTGAAACGTGCCAAGCACAAGAGCATTTGGCAGGGGAATTTCCAGAAAGAGAACCCTTCGACACCGAAGAAGGGAAACGCGTGTGCTTTGTTCTTCAAAAAAGTGGATTTCGTGAGCAAAACCGTAGACGAGGAGATCGCGGCTAATCAGAAAATAGAAAAGGCCAAACAAACAGAGGCGCAGGTGTTTAGCATGTACAATTTTCGATCGAAAAGAAAGCGGAGTCCGAGCAAGGAAGAGTCTATGGATCAGGAGCGCACACCTCCACCGTCGCCGGTGCAAAAGAGCCGCCACAATCCCTTTGCCAAGGAACGAACTGTGGAGGAAGCTTCCCAGCGATCCCCGGTGGTTTGTGAGAATGCCTCCTTGCTGCGTTTGCTCAGTCCCAAGAAGGTAACTCCTTTGGGCGGAGAAGCTGATGAAACGAGGGTTAATGCTCTTAAAAGAAGCATATTCGCCAAGGAGCAAGTGCAGGTGCGTAGTCGATTTTTTGCCTCCCAAGACGAACAGACATGGCTCCAGAAGGAGCAGCCAAAAGATGAACAGAACGACGAAAAAGACGAGCAGGAGCTGGACTCAAGCGCTAGCAATAAGAAATTAAGACTAGAAAAGGAAGTTATTTCAGTAGACAACTCAAAACGACAACGTTCTAACTCACCGTGTAGTGAGGGAGAAACAGATACAGAAACCACTGCCTCTTCGCTTTTGGAATCCCAAGATAATCCATCAGCATCTTCGCATTTAGAATCACAAGAAGAGCCAGTCACTTCTCAGCCAGAAAAACCAACTAAAGGCATAGGAATACGCATAAAATCCCTTGATGTGCTAGTTGAAAACTCTCTGGAAGCCACCGATGCCGACAGGAACAACAATGATGCCATCATCCTGCTATCCGACGACAGCTGCAGTTCAGAGCAAACAGCCTCATCCATCTCAGCGTCCACCCTGCAACGCCAGAATTCCCTGCCAGTCGGCAAACGAAGAGTTGGACTAAGTAAGCCCTCCACTGCCAAAAAGGGAACTCCCAAGACCAAGACGAACGGCAAACTCGGAGTCGTGGGCCAGAGTCAAACCAAACTCAGCATGTTTGGCTTCCAGAAGAGACCTGTCCTCAAGTAGATTTCTATTACTAGGCTGTAACTTTTTTTGTTCTTTAGATTAATCTAATTTATTAAAGTGATGACTGACTACACCAGAGCTGAATGCCATGAATCCATCAAGATTACAATTGCTAGGCTGGCAAGGTGATTTCTGACTGTCGAGAACTGCGTCACACTCAACTGCCGCGACTAACAACTTTAATTAAAACGAGGTATAAATAGATGCTACACCCCGTCGCATTTCTCCGGCCATTATCATTTGTTCTCGTGTTGCACAGTTGTGCTTGCTACTGCAGCTAAACTACTGCGGTCACAGTAACAGCACGGACAATAAGTTAGGTACAAAAAGATTTGAGGAAAATCTAATGTTTAAACTTCTACAAAAAAGATATATGAGTAAAATCTTTCTTAAGTTGACTCGATCTAATCAGATGTTTTAATTGTTAAATAAGTATGTTTGTGCTATTATTCTGACTGCAACTGTACGATGATGAATACACTGTATATTCTGACACCAGATAAACCTCCGGATGTGATGATGAGTTGAACAAGGGTGTCAGCGAGATTCTCCCTACGCTTTGCTTACCTATCCTCCTTTACGAAGAAGTTGCGGTCGTCGTAGGCTATAATTTCCTTGACCTCGCTTATCGTGATCCCGTAAAGACGTCGCAGCAGGCTCTCCACATCATCGGCCTCCACTTTTGGACGCACATCCGATCCGGGCTTGAGAAGATCGCTGTCCACAGCCTGCTCCTCTGCACTGCTTCCGTTTCCATTCGAGGATGTTGCATTGTTCTCCTTGTTCAACTTCTCGGCTGCATCGAACGCATGATTCAGGGTATACGACTTTTTGGACATGTTCGTCAGCTCCACATTGTTCCACTGCTCCATTTTATTTTGGGGCTCTATCGGAGACGCAAAAGACCAAAGGCCAAAAACCCGTATGTATAAAAATATCAATTAGAAGGCAAATAAGAGCCGAGGTGGAAAATGTTTTCGGTTGCGCGTTCTCCAGCGAAATGAATTGTGTTTCAGTTTGAGTTTCAATTGAAACGAGTTCGTCGACGTCTTCTCCATATCTTATTCGCTAGTCTGTCTGCGTTCAAGTACGGTCAAATATCGCTCATTTAAACCAGCATTTTAATATGATCCGAAAAAGCTTCATTTATAAATGTTATTACATAAAAACCTAAGAACCTTCGAGAATTACAAGAAATAAAAATTTAAAGATATTTCCAAGTTATTAAAGAACAAACAAAAAATTGTTTTTGAAAAACGAAAAAGAAAATTCAAGAAATTTGTAAACGCCAATATGAATATCAGTTTTCTCTGTGTACCTTTTTAATAGGCGAGGCATGACTGTATCTGCATAAAATTCTGTCTGTTAATATTTGTTTAGTGAGGTTTGACTATAGTTTCGTATGAATCTGTCCCGTGAGTTTCGTTTGTTGTGGGTGAGTGTGTGAGCCTCTGTCGCCACTTGCAGCGTTAACTTGGATATTTGCTTAATTTGTTAAAGCCAGGTCTGTTTGCATTTTGATTGTGAACTCAGAGGTGCACCGTACCGGATTGTATTTTCTACATTTTTCGGGTGTTATCAGGGGGACAGTCTTGTGGTTGCCCAACCGTGGAAAAGCAAACTGGCAGTCGTGATCGGTTTTATTAACGTTCCAGTCGAAGCCACACATCAATTATAGGAGCACATAAATCGAGCAGATCGCGGGGATTACTTAAAACTAATATGGAGTACGACAGAAAAGCAAATAATTGTCAGGTCATAAATCGAAACTGTCAGCGGAATAATTTGAAAAATGAACGCAAAAAAAAAATATACATATTGCGTTGGGGAAAGGTGATAATTGGGGGATGTTTTTAAAGCGAAATTCTCGAAGTCTCCCAATCAAAAGCCAATAAATGACCTTGACTCAATTTTAGTTTATTGCTCATACGCAACGTTGTACGTAACTACGATTCTCTGGGCTCACACATACACACTACACACTACTCTCCCACACATTTGCACGCTCAGCTGGGGGGTAATTAAAAGCCAAATATATTGTCCATTTGAGACGCGCAAATATGCACAGCTGACTGCTAATCAACTACATAAACAAGCCGCCAAATTCACATACATACACACATAATACAAAACACGGCTTATTTGCATTTACCTGTGCACGACAATAATGCACCTGTACGTCCGGATCGCAGAAATATTCAACTGAACTAACTCGCCAGTAAACTGTAACGATGCGGCTGAAAACTGACCAGGCGGAAAGTTGGTTAGTTTTAGGCCCTTTTACGATGTCATCACCTCACCTGCAGGGTTACTTATGTAAACAGATAAACTTAGCAGCTAACTTTAATAAACACACTTTAATAACACTTGAAAAACAATAAGCAAAACGAACACATTCAAAAATTCAAAGCAATGTGCAGGCACGCCGACATGCGAATGGCAACTATTGCTGCCTCTTGCCACTCATTCAACAGCTGTTTCTATATTTACATTTGGCCCAGCCCTTACCAACACTGGATGGCGGCAGGTTTTGAAGTTGTTTACCCATTAAAAAGCCAAGATGCCGAAAAAGTTGCAGAATTCCATTGAGCATTTGCCTCTCCACAAGTTCCCCACAATAAAGACTTCAAAAAAAGACAAACATTACTAAACAGAAAACACTTACAAAAACACAGATAAACTGTACCACACAAAAAGGTAGAAAAACACAAAAAAAATGTTAAAGAAAAATATTACTATTACGGATTATGATCAAAAGGATCAGGGGGACGAGGTTGACGACAAGGTTGACGACAAGGTTGACGACAAGGTTGACGACAAGGTTGAGGTTGTTCGCTTCAGTGCTCTGGAAGATGACATCGACCCATGGGAGATTCCCTTCCCCTTGCCGGAGCACAACGACCCGTCCATGTGTCGTGATGAGTTTCTCAGCACCTTCATAGAGGAGCACGAGTGGCGGGCGGAATCCATAAGGCCCAGATCGACAATGAGGGCCATGTCGGTGGTCCAACAGCTGGAGGAGGCAAGGAGCAAGGACCCGGAGTTGGAAAAGGGAGCCGAGGCTATGGTGGTATTGGAGTTGGCCAGACAGCGCCAGAAGGGGAACATCAGAAAGACCGTGGAGCAGTTCTTGGAGGGCATAAGGATGCGATCCACCCTGCTGACGGAGCTGAATTTTGAAATCCAGAAGGCGGCCGTTGAGTTTTTGTCAGTGCGTCTGCTCAAGCAACTGCGCCTCTTCTCGAGTCCCTGGCCTGGAGAGCTGGAGGAGATCCCCTACCACCTGTTCAGCTGGTCATTGAAGGACTTTTTGATGCGCCTGGACATAAAGCAAATATATCTTGACGTTATCAACCGGGAACGGAGCGCAGAGGACCTCGACTGCCTTAAGTTCTGCAAGGATCTGAGTGAAATCGAACTCCTTATATATGAAATACGACAGGACTATCGCGATGATAAGGATCTTTGCAAGAATAGTATTAAATTGTTGCGGTGAGCGTTTTTAGGCCTATAGTTTAGTTTTCTAAAGAAAGTCCTCAAATAGTTGACCCAGTGAAATTCTATAAAAGTCTAAAGTTTAAAAATGTTTATATATTTGAAAGACCCATGTTGCCTTTTTATTGCAGGAATGCCCAATATAATATAAATGCGCCATGGGTCAAGACCCTTCAAAGTAATCTCAAAACCATGGAACATGAAAAGTTTGACTCCATGTTTTATAAGAAAAGCAGCTCCTATAAGATGATATTTCGTCACACATCGGTAATGGACGACTTCGAGAGCGTCTCGGGTGAGTAGAATCATGAGAACCGTATATCTTGTACACCCTTACGAAAATTATCGATCGCAGCTTTGGACCCTATCGAGATGCGTTATCAAATCAATTGGATAAAAAGCCTTACGGAGCAGCAACTGATGCGGATAAATGGACGGGAGGAGTTAATGAGAGACGAACTTAAGGATCTGAAGGATCTTATGTTGGAGGACGAATCAGTGCAGTACTCCTCGGAGCTAATGTATTCCCTGGAATTGGGCAAGCTCAGGGCAAGCATCAAGGAGTGGCAGGATCGACAAGATACCGATCTGGAGAAAGCCGAAGTCCTGTGTACGGTATCAAAGCTGGCTCTTCAAAAGTTAAAGGACGATCTCAAGTTCTACATGGAGCAGAAGGAAATGTACGTACAACGATTAGAAGAGGTGCAAGCTATTATAGCCCTCGAGGAACAGAGGGTAAGTTTCTGTAGAGACAACCTGGATTGGATACATTAATAGGTGACATATGTTATAGGAAAATGCCGCTAATGAAAGCCGATTGTCAAGGAAGTCTGCTAGAAAGTCTGTGAGGAAGTCTGAGAGAAAGTCGGAGAGAAACTCAGAGAGAAAGTCCGAGAGAAAGTCCGAGAGAAAGTCCGAGAGAAAATTTGAAAGGAAATCCAGAAATTCAAAAGCGCAATAGCATATATTCTGATTTGGATCATTTTCCTTTATATGTTTGCAATTTACCAAAGATAACATTAAAAATTTGTTAAGCTTGTGACTTCTTTTTATGAAAAACAATTTTAGGTTTTTTGTTGATTTTTGTAATCCATTTGTATGGAATGTATTGACATATCCAAAGACATACAGATCATACAGGAGCACTCCTGCTTTATTTCAAAATGTTACATATTTTCAAAAACTAATTGAGTCAAAAACGAAAAAAAAAGTACAAAAAAACGGGAAACAAAAAAAAAAAAAAAAAATCAAATTATGATTAAGGAACAGAAAGAATCCGACACTACGTCTGATCCGTATGAGATTAAGTTCCCCTTGCCGGACCACCTTGATCCGTCCCAGTGCCGTGATGAGTTCCTCAACAAGATAAAAGAGGAGCACGAACAAAAGTTGAGTGTGGAGAGGCCCGGATCGTCAATTCGGCCCGTAACGATCTTCGAAAGTTTTGTGGGTGCCGGGGATCCGGAGATCGAAAAGGAGGCCGAGGCCTTGGTGGTGCGCCAGTTGGAGTGGCAGCGCCAGAAAGGCTTCCGGAACAAGACCGTGGAGCAGTTCATAGAGAACATTAGACTACGGCCCGCCCAGCTGGTGGCCTTGAATTGCCAAATCCAGAAGTCAGCCATCGAGTTTTTGTCAGTGCGACTGCTGAAGCAGTTGCGCCTCTTTTCGAGTCCTTGGCCGGGAAAGCTGGACGATATACCGTACCACCTGTTCAGCTGGTCGCTGGAACACTTCTTGGTACGACTGGAATACAACCAGTTGTACCTAGACGTGATCAATCGGGAGCGGAGCACGGAGGATCTCGACTGCCTTAAGTTTCGCAACGATCTAAATGAGATCGAACGACTTATATATGAAATCCGGGAGGACTTTAAAAGAGATGAAAACCTCTGCAAAAGTTGTATACAACTAATACGGTAAAATGCTATTTTCTAAATTAGTCTTCAAAATAATGAAGGGATATAATATCTAGTTTACAATTGTTACATTTAGATATTATAATAATAAATTTATTATAATATCATTTTGATATATAGTTATATTTCAAATATCAATACCAATTTCATACAAAGTTGTATCATTCCTCAAACATATTTTTTTTTGTAGTGATTGCAAATACAATACGGATGGTGTCTGGGTTGAGGGCCTCCAGGAGCTTCTCAAAATAAAAGAAAACCTAAAGTCCAACTTAGGCGCAAAACCAAGCGTTTCTCTTTTGGAAAATCGTACGACGCTTCTTATGGGTCTTATGGAGGATGTTAGCGGTGAGTGAAGGAACCTCAATGGTCGGTATATAAATAAGCTATCTATCGTTTTAAATTTCCTCTAAAACCTTACTTCTACAGCTATTGATCCGATAGAGTTGCGTTATCAGATAAAATGGATAAACAGCTGTACGGATCAGCGGCTAATGCTTCTAAGTGACCGTGAGGAGATGCTGAAGAAGGAGCTAAGTGATTTACTGACCAAACTGGAACTAGACGAAATAGTGCACCGCAACTCAGAGTTAGTCTACGCCTGGGAAGTGGAAAAGCTGCGGAGAAACTCCATGGAGTGGCAAGTCAAGCTGGACAATGATCTGGAAAATGCGGAAGTCCAGTGCACTATAACTAAGCTTGCCCTGCAAAAAGTAAGGGACGATCTGAAGTTCTACTCGGAGCAGGAGGAAATGTACCGGCGGCGAATAGCCGAAGTGAAGGAGCTCATGGAGGCGGAGGAGAAAATTCGCCAGCAAAAAAAGGTGGTTTCCAAATGGGGCTTAAAATTAAAATTAAAGATTAAAAAGGATCCATTATAAATGTTCTACTTTATAGATCTACAATACCCAACCATTTTATACCTTTTAAGAGTATGATTAACTAATATTATTTCACTTTCTAGACTAAAACATTGGAGGCTGTTGAGGACGCAGTAAAGGCCATTGAGGCGGTTTATAAGCCAGAGGAACCCAAAAAGAAGAAGTCGACGAAATTCTAAAGCTCATCAATAATCGACAACATTTATTTACGTTGGCAACCCAAACAAAATAATCAAAATCCCGAAATGCATGAACTTAACCCCCAAAGGGTTGTTGCCATCAAAGTCACTGTCAAAGGATCAGGCAATGTGGGGGTATTTATTTGTTGGGAGTGGGTGCAAAGTTAGGGCAAACATTTACCATATTCATTATTTTTGGCGGAGACAAATGAAATTACAGGCAAACGATTGGGGGCTCCCCCCACTAATGGCGATTGCAGTTTAGAAAATCCGAACGAATTATGTGCAGTTTAGTCGCCGTAGTAACCCACCTGGAACACCCACTCCAAGTCGGGGGAACAAATATAGCCTCATGCATAGTTATTTTATGCGCCGTGGCAACCTGAAAGTTGCCGCATAACTTTGCCTATCGTTGTTACCATACCCGGTTGGGTGTATTATTTACGCTTAGAAAATAGAGAGAGTAGAAATTTTTCATCGCCAGTCGAAGGCGGATCGGGCTTGACCAGATAAAATCCATTTGGAATGCCAACAAATCCGCGACCCACGACTAATGGCAATACACCGGAGGATTGGCAGGTCTTTGAGGTGCTATTCGGTGCTGAAAATGGCACGAAAGTCAGTCCGGAAAGGATGACCACAATGTCACCTTTGAGACAACCACTTCCATCTTTCCAGGTAAGCAGTTTGTCTGTCGCTAAGGTATCCCAATCTAAAATTAGTCTCGCCGAAAATCGTGTGCCAAATTGCCAAATAAGCATGTAGACATCATATCAGGCTAGATTTATGTGGTTTCGCAATTGAATAACTGCTTTTGTTCGGTGCTTTTTATGTTTCAAATGTATGCGGTTGTTAGGGGAACTAATAATGTTTGTAGGGGGATTTGCATAAATTCAACAGTGGTTGGGACTGCTAAAAGGATGGTAAAGGGTGCATAATAAATAAAGTGAGTAATGGATATTAGAGCATATAAAAGAGGATCACATTGTCATAAACAATTGTTGTAAATATTTATATTTATTCTTTCATTTAAGGCTAAGTTTATTTTAAATATATTTTGATAAAATTGCACATCTAACTTGCGTATAAAATAGCACATTTTCATAATTGTTTGTTACAGTATCACCATTTCCAATATAAGATTCCGTCAAGAGAACATTTTTAAACATTTTCCCTGGCCCATAACTATTTCCTTTTGAAGCCAAACTCAATTGGCTGCATAATTAACTTGGCCAAGCTTATCGAATGTTCAGCACATTTTCAGTTCCCATTTATCTTCGCTTTTGCCCCTCTCCAAAGTGCAGACAATTGGCCAAAACTTGCACACCTCATTTTCCGTTTCCGGCCAGGTTGGAAATATCCACCGTAGAGTGGTATAGCAAACCTATGTAAAGTCAACCACCCAAAAGACCCATTCCGATGGCATCCGCAGTCGCGTGCGTGAGTACGTTGTGGATATTGCATTTGATACTTCGCCACTTGGCGCCATGTGAATGACCCAAATAATCCAAACAAACTGCAAAGTTTTCCCCATGTGTAAACGTGGCTAGGATGGTGTAACTTCACCACCGACTCCCTTTTCGCTCCTGCCCCTGCCCCTGCCCCTGCCATTGAGCTCGTTTTCACTTGGAGCATAAACTCGAGCATTGTGTGATGTTATGTTGAGGTAAATTCCACGGTGCCATGCATCGGCCTCCCCTCAGTTGTCAGGCTGTTGGGTTGTTAGGCTGTTAGGCGAAAGGAGTTCTTCCCGAAACCGAAACCAAAGCTCAGTTCTTCGACGTCTTTGGCTGGGAACGGTCGGTTCGGTTTTTGGAGAGCTTGCAATCCGGAGATCGCGTCTTTAACAATGCCCAGTGACAATCATCTGCATCACCACCACTTGGGACACAGTGGTGGACTGTCGCCGCATCATCATCATTTGGTGGGGTTTGGAAATATTAATCGATCCTTAAAAAATGAAAATGGACCACTATTAATACTGGATAGAATATTTTCCATCAGGGAAAGAAATAAAATTTACTTGGAAACTCTAGAAATGAATCTAGTGCATTTTCTGCTTCAAATGTTTTAAATAAGAATTTTTTATTGAAATAAAAATTACCAAAACAAAATATGTGTGTCGATTTGCAGTACTAATTTATGTTATTTTTTTTCCAGCTGGACACATCTTGTGGCAATGCGGGAATCACTGTCACAGAACATCATCATGGACTGGACTTGACCACCACATTGCGCAGCGAATTGGCTGCTTTGTCCTACAAAAAAGAGCGACTTACAGGGGAGGTAAATACTAAAAAATGCTTTAAAAAATTACTTAAAATATAAATAACTTTTTTTTTCCTCCACAGCTCGCTGAAACCCGTACCGCCTTGTGCAGCAAAGAAGCGGAAATTGAAAATCTGCGAGCCCAGGCTGCTCGACAGACGGCTCTCATCGGCTCCCTACAGAGTCGCCTGCAAAACTCCGAGAGCAGGGAGCAGTCCGTCCAGGCGAGATGTGATTCCACCATTCAGACGGTGCAGCGGGAAAAGCGGAGTTCCGATGAGCGGAACAAGGAGCTGATCTGCAAGATTCAGCACCTGGAAACGCATTTAGCCAGCGAGGAATCTCAAAAGGATCAGGCCAAGGCCCAGTTGCACGATCTCCTCCGCCGACTGAGCATCAGTTTGGGCATGGATGTGTGCGACGGCAATCAGAACTCGCATGCCACACCCGAGTGCATCGTGTCCCGGGCCGAGGAGGTGATGGTGGAGCTGCAGAGGACCAAGGCCAAGGTCAGTTCCACCTGCGATACTCTCAGCTCGTGCGAGAATGAACTGCTCAACCTGAAATCACTGGCCAATATCGAGAAGCAGCGACTCACGGCCCAGCTCGATGGGGCAGGTAATCATAATCACGAACTTGAAGGACGTTGTCGGCAGTACGAAAGGGATCTTCAGATTCAGAGGGATCGTCTAACCGAATCGGAAATCAACGGGGAGAAACTCAAGGAGGAGCTGCGTGGCTTCGAGTCGCGTTGTCATCGTCTGCAGAACAATTTGGACCGGACTCAGGGCGATCGCCTGCAGTTCTTGCGCGGATTGAGCAATCTCCTCAATGTACCCGAACCCTGCGAAACTCTAATTAAGGACAAGTTAAGGGAGACTCTGGCGGAAAATCAGGCCATGCATGCGGTAATATATCTTTTCTACCTTTTATTTACCAGATTTTAAACTGTTTTTAAATGATATACAGCAAATGCATTCACTGCGAGATCAATTGACCTCGGAGCATGAAAAGCTGAAGGAGACCCAGCAGGCCACCGAATGTCGCATCAGATCGGGAGAGGCTCAGAAGTGTGAGCTAACTGAGCGGCTGGAGAAGTGCCACGCCGAGATCCATACTCTGCGCAAGGATCACATGGGTCTGTCGGAGTTCCTGCAACGCCTGGCCAATGCCATGAACTGGAGTGAGTGCTCTGCCCCACCAGCCTTGGGCACCGATACCAACCTGATGGCGGAGAATCTGCTGGAAAGAGCCGAGAGACTCACCGCCCATTGCGAACACGAAGGGTCGCATCATCATCACCATCACAGCCCGGAGAAGGGTTGCTGTGATCACGGACATGCCCATGGCCATGGCCATGGGAAACTGCGCCGGGAGAGATCCTGTCATGACATTCCTCTGAAGGAGAGCAGCAGTGTGTACAACCTACAGCGACGAGTTCGCGTCCTCAGGGAGCAAGTGCAGCGCCGGGATCTGCACTTGGAGCTGCTGCGTCGCAAGTTGGCCATAATTGAGGATGGTGCTCGGGGCAAGTGCATGCTGCAGGGCGAGCGGGACGAGGCTGTTTGCCGGGCCAAAAAGGCGGCCAAACAGGTGGACAAGCTGAGTGCCCAGCTGGCCGATGCTAGATCCCAGATAGCCGAAGTTAAGGCCCAATTGGCCGAGGCAGTGGAGTACAAGATCACCTCACTGGAACGGGCCAGGAAGATCGATGAGTTGACCACCCAGGTGTGCGATCTGGAGGACGAAAAGACCCGGCTGTTGTCCCAACTGAATGCCCTGAAGGAGCGCCTCAAATCCTCCTGCGAGTCCAACCAAAATCGTAGATGTCGTGATGAGGCTCTAATAAATGTGAGTATATACATACAATTATTTACATTGTAAGAGCTATAAATTAATATCTTTCCAAAAACTGCAGTCCATGCGCGATGATGTCAACCGTCTCAGTTCACAACTTTCGGATGCCAATCAACGGCTGTCCCACTTGCAATCCTTCCGCACTTCGGTGGCCAGGACACTGCATCTTAGGGATCTGCCGGAAACCGATCTACTGCATCGCCTTCAAGCCTTGTGCTCCGCCCATCAGGAGTTTACCATGCTCTCGAAACGCTATGAGACAGCTTCGCCAGTTGGCGACCATCCGTGTCCTCGTTACGATGACCCCATACCACCTTCCGCCCACTGTCGCCCACCCAGGGAGCTCAGCCCTCCGCCTCCAACTTCCTTCCATCACAAGGCAACAGTCCACTCCGGCAACGGCCATCACCCACCGACCGAGCACCACCATGGCTCCAGTAGCCATGTCCACAATCATCACGGACATGGACATGGTCATGGCCACGGATCCCATTCGAGACGCCAACGCAGCAAAAGCCGGGATAAACGACTTCACGACGAGTGCTTCGACACGGATGTGCATCGATTGCATCACGGCTGCAAGGAGGAGCTACTGGCCACCGGATCCGAGGATGACTATGACTTCAAGAGCAAATACTGCTAAAGTAACGCACTTTTTCTATGCATTTGTATTTTCCCGAGCAACAAAAAATAAAATATTAATTCTTTATTTGAGGAAAATATTGCCTTTGGTGAAAGAACATAGTTTTAGCTTGCTTAAAAGGTTAAATCGCTAATTTTAAAAAATCACCATGTGAAATGGTAGTTTTTTCTAAATTTGAGAAAAAATATATAAAATTTGAAAAAATATTTGGGAAGTAAAAACAATTTTCTGTTGTCTGTATTTAAATATTATTTATTGAATTTAAATTTCAAACTAAATTTTAAAATACCTAACCAAGGCTCTAACTTTTTTCTAGCTATTTTTGTGTAAAAAAAAGTGTCAGAACTGTCTTGATTCCACAGCAATTTTTATTTTTTACTTATCTACATGTAAATTTCACAGTTTCCAAAATTAGCCGAAGGAGCGCTACAACTACAAGTAGTTCGAAAAATTGCCGCTGAATTGTGAAGGTAAGTGGCAGTACACTTAAAATTTTAATTTTTTTATTAAATTTACTGATATTAATATTTCTAAAAAAATAATAAAAAAAACATGGCACATCATCAAAAGTTACAGCATTGTTAAAAAAACTTTGGGTTGGTCACTCACCTGCTGGATACGAGTTACCCGCCGTAGCAGCCTTGGTTGATTGACTTCTCTGGCCATTATTTGCGGAATTATGCAAATAGGAAAAGTGTCAAACGCATTGTACCGTCTGTCGCATCACGAGCACCTGTCAAATCAATCAAAATTGACTGCACTGCAACCTGTTTTTCCAACCAAGTTCAGGCCCAGAGCAAACGGTGGCGCCTGGAAATGGGTAATTAATCAAAAGTTCAGTAAACGCTTTTCATACGAATCCATCGCAATCCCACCAAAGAGTCAACGCCAATCAAGATGCATATTTTTGCATGTTCGAAATTACACAACACGTGAGTTGTAAGTAGTGCCCCAGCCCGATCATTTGCCGCACAGACTTGCCACAGACGACACCCAGAGCAATGAACTTGGCCTGTCGGGATCGCCACGCTTGACTTCCCCTGGTTTCCGTGGCAAGGAGGGAGGAATCTCGTCCGCACTCAGAACATAAACACTTAAGGAAACATTTTTGAAAAATATCGAAAAATTAATAACTGACATATGTATATTTAAATGTGTAAAATATTAATAATATATAATTTAAAAAAACCCTTGGGCACTCTCTAATTTTTAAGTCAAAACGTTGCGGAAACTTTCCAGCATCAATCATCTCTAATCCTAATCACAAATACAAATATGCAATACTATAAATAAATTCTGAGCTAATCGTCATTATTATTTATTAGTCCTCATTTATTTGTCATCAATTTAAAAATAATTGCGGGAATTACTCATGATCAGAATATTCATTCTTCATTCATTCTTCATTTCTTGGAGATAGCATAGCAAGTTTTGGTGTCACTTGAGACATGTTTAGTTATTGCAAAATTATTTTATGCCCAAAATTTGAAGGACTTTCTCAATAATTTTTCTTAGTGAAAAGAATGCAAGCATATCCAGAAAACATGTTTATGAGGGGGTCAGGTTGGGGGCTGAGCGGGTGGTGCCGATTGCCACATGTGTACCTGTAGCCCCTGTGCCTGGTGCTCTGGCTGATCTTGCCACATGAGCCGGCAGTATAAGTTGTTAACAGCGGGGAGCGCATTTCGCTTCGTTTTGCAATAGAGTTCCTTCTTCTCCAACTGGTTTAACTCTTTGATCTGCTTCCTCCTGCTCTTCCCGCCTCCATATCACTTGGCGACTTTTGATCTTTCGCTTCGAGGAGGAGGTGCAGTTGGAGTAGTAGAAGGAGAAGTTCCACGATGGAGGAGATGCGGCCATTAGAGCCGCAGTCACTCAGGTGTGGTATAAGCCGCAAGAGAAGCCAGACTGGAAATGTTGGGTGGGGGAAATGGGTAGAAAGAAGACGGAGACTAGCCCATAATTAATATCTTTGGGAATTTGATTTAACACTTTACTTTTTTAACAAATTGCCCGTGTGTCAGAGACTTAATTGTCTAATTGAAAAGGAATGAATTCAATGAAATGGCTTTAACTACGTGATGAATATGTTATGATATAACAACTAAGGCGTTATATTCTATGGTGCGCATCGCCCATAGTGATTTTATAAAAATTTTCAATGACGAATTTAACATTTTTTTAATTTAGTTTACTTTGCAGTCAAATGCCAGTGACAAAAAAATTAGTAAATTTATTTAAATCCTCCTTAACTTTAAACACTCAGCTCTTACTTTCCATCTAACTGAATTCTGTTTAGTTATTTCTGAATATTGCAAATCCAATTCAGGAAAATCAACTACAAATAAAAGCAGTAAAATATGGATGAAAAACGCGGATTAAAAATGTATCCAATTTAAATTAAATTGGCACTTTATACGTATTTTTCTTGACATTTTCCTATCTCCTATATGTTACGCAGATCAAATTCAAAAGGGTCAAATAGTGGAGGGGTGTGTTGTTGTCGCCCACAGGATGCTGCCATTTGAAATGCGTTGCGGACCAAAAACTAGGACACAAACTATGGAAATACGGACAAGTTGAAGTCCACAAAGCCAAACACGATGCGTGTGGTGCAGGGTCCAAAATAAATATATGCTCAGCCCAAAGGTTGGATGAGTGGAATAAAGGCGGACGGGAAGGTCACAAGTGCCTTTGGTGTCTCACCAAATTGTTTACAAATACAGAACACGCGTTGAAAAGCTGTCATAAAGAAGGGCTACGAGGAAAGTGAAGAAATGGATCTGAGTCCTCTGGCAACGCCTTACCTTGAAGCAACGAATCTACTCTTCTTTGGGATTTAATGGTTTTTTCTAGCACAAAAGAGTCAGTAGTAGCGTCATCACCATCTCCATCATCACCATCACTATCATCTGGTGGGTGCCTGACTGGCATCTGAGATGATTTTAATGCCGTTGATTGTGGGTTTCCATTGACATTTCGGCCAACTTCCCATTACCCACTCTCGTAGTTTGTCGAGATTTGCTAAAGCCACAAGCTTCCGCTTATTGTTTGTTGGTAACAATTAAGCCGCACTTTTGCACCAGTCAACTAAAATAATCAAAATGTTTGCGGCTCACCCATGCACCCACAACCAAACAGAAAAAAGTACTTGTACACTTAACAAAATGATGCTGTACAATTGTCAAAGTTCAAACATGTGTAAATATATTTACTCAAAACATTATTAGTAGATAAGTAGATGTGCTTCTTCTATTTCAATTTCTTATAATTATATTTTAAATTCATTTGATGATGATTTCGAGATAAAAAATATCATTAAAATTTGTTGGATTTAAAGCGTTTAATATTTTTATTATGCCTATTTCTGCTAAACACATGTTCTTTCCTACTGTGCACATTTGTGTGGGGGTAATCTCCATTTCAAAACCGAAAGCAAATGCAATTTTTAAATTTTTCCAGAGAGTTGAGAGCTGAGTTGGGAATGGCTTTGTCCATGAATTTGCATGTTTTGGCAGGGATCAGTTCTCTGTTTTGGGGAATGGCAGCAGCGGAATCATGGGGATTGCTTTGCCATTAGTCCGGTTGCTCCGCTTGTGGACAATGGCAGCAGTCTGTGGCCCCATTAAAAATGCAACCAGTGAATTGGCTATTACACACACATCGACCAATACAAAGTTGAATGCCAAACTGAATTTTTCGGGCTTAGCATGTTTTTGATTAAAACGCTTTGGTTTGTATTTGAATGCATTAAAGAAAAGTATGATGGGTTCCGAGAGTAAGCATCGGATAAACACAGTGCGATTATAAATCTTGAATGACAAGCAAAATCGATTGAATTTGAGAGGCCCTTGTTTTTTTAATGGAATTATGAATGATTTTATTCGGGAAACGAAAATATTTATTATTGTATTTAAGAATTTGTTTTTAAATGAAGAAGACTTCTTTATAATACTCCAAGTACCGCCTGAGAGCTGGCCTATAAAACCACTTGATCCACTGCTGTGTTCAACCCATTTCCCTGTTTTTGCTGAAACTTCCTTTGCATTGTTTGCGTTTAATCAAGGTCGCCAGTTAATTAGACTTTCTGCTGTGGGAATAAAATGTCGCCTGGCAGCGAAACAATTGCAATGAAACCATTGCATCAGCGAGATGGATGCCCGACCATCCATTTGGGGCACTTGGGAGTCGGAGCTGTTGGCCAAGTCAGCATAACATAGCTGCACATTATTCAACGCGGCAAACAAAAATTGTAAATGTTTTAATTGTCAAACATGAAATAATAAATGCTCGCCATAATGGCATTAATAATGGCGATGCACACATAAAACAATGAAACGATGAAAGAGCGACCATAAAATGCAAGCCAGGCGGCAGAAAGAGATTGTCCATCCACCACTCTTGACTGCCACTCGATGTGTCTTAATTAGCATAAATATGCAGTGTGGTTGTGCAACTGGCCAAAGGGGGAAGGTGAGTGGCGGGCGTGGTGGCTTGGTGTCACCTCAGAGCACGGCAACAGCATTTATGGCTGCCATCGGTCAATCGGAACCAGAATCGACTCCCGTTTCGGTCCAATTCCCTGACATCCAGCATCCATAAGTGGATATCGAATGCATATATCCCCCTGGCCGCATTATTATGCGGGCTCACTTCTCTAGCCGTAATGGCTTTAATTGTTATTGTAATTGGCAGTGCATTCAATGGTGAGTAATTGAGTCATGGGGGTAAATGATTGAAGTTTGATATGCTAGATTATGTCATTGAATTTGGAGAGGTTACAAAAGAGCTCGGATTAAATGGAGCTGTCGGAATGTTGATCTCATTTAATTGCCATTGTATATGCTTCTCAAATTTATAAATATTACCATTGACACTATTGAATGAAGGAATGCTTGATAGCTTTTTACATATAATAGTACATTTACAGTACTTTTATTTATTTATAAAAGATTCCAATGAAAACAACTAGCACGCACCCAAACTGCCTTTATTTAAATTACTTTATCTAATTCTCTGTTGTTTAATTTGGATTTTTATTGGAATTCATTTTTGTTATCAAATAATTTCAATAAATAATAATACCACACTATCAGAAATTGTAAATAATCTGATTATTGAAATAATTCAAGTTAAAAAGAAACCTAATTAAGTGATTTATGCCATACATTCCAATAAACCATTAATTCGACAATTTGTTTGCTTTTTTTTCTGTCAGCTTTATTTGATTCTCGCGATTTTTTTGCACAGGCAAAATATGAAGTTCAGAGATATACAGATAAGCGGCTATGATGTAATGCTTAGAGCTACATATAATATATAGATAGGTTTAATATAGCATATATATTCATGTATATAATATGATACATAGATTTCAAAAACAGTTTTTGTTTCTTTGTCTGTGTTTAGTTTGTTAATCCGATAAGAAAACAAGCTTTTAGGTATCAAAAAGCATTTGCAGTGCCTGCAAATGTGGACATACAGATTAATCGATAGATATCAGGACTATATGGTACGAATATATTTATGCATAAGGGTATATGTGTTCTATGCGTGATATTAGAAAAGGTTTTACAAAAACTCGCTTATTGACAAAACGTTAATCGTTAAATATGTTGGTATAACTTGAAAAAGTTCTCGCTCTATTAACTATGTTTCCATTAAAAATGTTCTTTATCAAATTTGTTTTAGTTACCTCTTCTAAATTAAAGACGCCTAAATCGTATCACAGATAAATGTGTTTTGCCGAGTGCTATGCTCGGGTCACACATTGGCATAACTTAGGCCTATAACAAACGGATCTATAGCTATGTTTGAGTACAAACTAGAGGGGGGATTTTGCTGGATTTTTGAATTGTTTTGGGGGTTTTGATTTGAGGCAGGCTCTCAGTTCTGCCACCAAAGGGCGCTCGTGTTCCAGATCCAGGCGCCCGACCCTACTCAACGATGCTGCTGAGGATTGGGGGGTCCAAAGGCCTGCATGCTGTAGTACCGCTCGCTGTCCTCCTTCACCACACTGGTCACGTGGTGGAACTGGCACGGATGCGAAATCTGCGATTTCGGTGGCAACGGGGCCGGCTTAACGCGCTTCTGTTTCTTCTGCTTCCGATTTCCGGGCACGGTCAAGGCGATGTTCTCCGGATCGCTGACCAAACGCTCCACATGCAGCCACAACTCACGGGCCGCATCCGTCGAATCGAAGCTGAAGCCGATCATCTGCTGGTGATTGCTCGACCGGCACATGGTGTGAAACGAGGGACCCGCAATCCGGTAGTTCGACAGGTTGTCAATGCGATCCGACCATAGGGCAAAGCTGGAACCCCTCTCCGCCAGCACCAGTGTCACTCTGGGCATGGACCTGGCCTTGGAGTTGCCCTTGTCGTGGAGTATCACCGGAATGCCAGTGAATACCAGACGCCAGTCGCCATCGTTTCCGGTTCCCTCGTACAGATTGGCCAAGGCGCCGCTCACGAATATCTCTGTGCCCAATCCCCCGAAGAAACTCTCCACCTGACCCCGCTCGTAGTCCGAGAGATTTGTGTTGCTCGTGGTGTCCGTGCTGATGGTGTCCGCATCGATGTCCGACGCGTTGTACAGGGATGTGGTTCCATGGGCGCTGCTCCTTTGCGCCGATGAGTGCGAGTGGGCCGACCAGTCGGCGTGCAGGATCAGCTCATCCCTGGGCTCCGAGGAGGAGCCGGTGCCCTCACTGGACTCCGAGGGTGGCGCCGAATCGCTAACGGATCCCAAGCGGCGACGTGTCTGCTGCAGTTGATGCGACATCTAAAAAAAAGGGGAGCAGAGTGCTAAATTAGATTTCTGTGGCAAAAGCTTTTCGGCTGCGGTTTCCCTGCAAGAGGAGTTAATGCAATTCTCTTTTGCCATTTTCCGGCACCTCACAAAAGTTGGCAACCGAAAATAAAAACAAGAGGATAAGCTTCACAATTAAATTACGACTATGAAGTACCTAGTACTTAAAATATAAACGTTATCAACTAAACACTGATTTACTGACTAGCAAATTGAAATGTCTTCTTAAAAAGGAAAACAATTTTAATAACTAAATAAAATATGTAATTTATATATACAACTATATAAACAGTTTACAAATTTAACTGGCTATTAGTCAAGAAAAAAATTTTAATCTTTGTTTAAATTTACTAACACACAAGATTTAAGGCACAGTATATATTAGTTATATTGAAAAACGAAATACTATCTGCACAAGATTTTCAAAAATAATGGGTATAACAATTTCTAGTCCCAACACGAGTTTCAGTTTCGGATTCTCTCGCTCTATAATTTGTTATTTACTTTGTTGCCCCGCTGCAATTGCTGCCAAGAAAAAAACAACCGAAAAATATATATACAATTTCATTGTGGTCGCTCTGCTGGAAATTAAACACAATCAATTTCCGCTCCAAAAACTCAAATCGTAAACAAACAATAAAATCCGCATATTTATGCTCAATGAACAATTTGCCAAATATCATTTACTTAACAAATGCGAAAATAACAATTGACAATGTGAGTAATTGTTCGTTCAATTTTAATCGGTTGGAGTTAAGTGAATATTTATTGAAGAACAATTTTGGGATGACGATATTTTGTTCCTGGTTATTAATTACTCACATGCATTGGGCAATTAGCTTAGCACGTTGTGTGTTTGACAGACACCAACTAATTGTTTAAGTAAATTAAATTAAGGCCTTGCCTTTCGTATACCAAATAAATTAATTTTTGTTTATTGAAACCACAATTTTTGCCAAATATTGAGCTTGACAAGCTAATTTAAATTGTACGTAAATAAAAAAAACAAAAATCCAAAACTAATTAGGATTCCTGCACTCTCATGGCCCCGTGGGAAATTCTCCATATCAAAGAACTCACGTCCTATGCAAATACCTTAAAAAAAGTTGTTACCAAAACTACGTGTACTTACAGTCAAACAAATTCGGAGGCAAAGCGCATAACTAATGAATATGGAGCGTTCAAATTTTGTTATCTTCTCTTACTCAAATACCAGAAAAGTTAGCCGAGGCACGTGGACATCGGCACGTTTTAATTAGCGCCGCAAATTGCAGGTCACGGCGTAATTAAATTATTTAAATTGCTAATTTTCGCCAAACAGGGAGCTTGGAAGTGAAAATTATACAGCAAGTGCTAAAATGGAAAGTGCTAAACACTTGAACATGTTTTAAAGTTGTCAATGCGAAGACTGTGACTCCAATAAATAATAATCAACGAATTTGTGAGGGGGTAAGAAATGTCCTAACATTTCAGCAAGGGGAATAGGAAATTTGTCCACGACACGCAGGAAGTTGCTGTGGAAATGTATTGCGCATCCGCTAAGATTCTTTGGCACACTTTCAGGCCAACTTCTGTCAGAGCCAACAACTTTCCACGGGCAACTTTGTTTGTTTGGGGTTGTCCAGCAAAATGTATTGGGAGGGGCGGAAGAAAAGAAGGAGGGGCACTGCAACATTAACACGGTTATCTATAATTTACACGCACAGGGGAAAAGCGGAGGATCCTCCTTAAATGCGGTGATTTCAGGCTGCCTGATGCACATTTATTGTGCTATTACTTTTGTGGCCCGTGGATGTCCTCTTCCCATCCCCAAAAGGCAAACGACTTTTCTCCCCTGAGTGTTTTTTTACGTGTCCTGGTTTGGCAGACAAAAAACTTTTCAGCTACAATTACGGGCAAAAAAATAGCCAAGTCGGTTTCAAATGCTTTCATTTTGGCTTTATTATCTATGTATTTTACTAAAAATTTATTAAAGTATTTCAAAACAATTTATTTTCTAATTATTATTAGTTTATAAAAGCTAATAATGCACAAAAAAAGTAACAAATGAAATATGTAATAGATACTGAATCATACTTCAAAGATAAAACTTTTAAGCTATACGATAATACAATATTTATTCCATTCATAAATTAGGTTCCAGTCAGGTTCTATAATTTTACCAGTTGCTGTACATAAACTTTTATATATCTTCCAGCATAAGATTAATTGCCTCACTTCCCCAGCTCCACGAACTTGGCAAATATATTTAGTGCCGAGATTTATGTGGCTTCATTACGACCACCCATCACGGTCCCTAAGAAACCACCCCGAAAGAAATCTCACACCCCCTAGAGAGCAGCGGGAAGTTTTGTCTATGTATATCGAACATTTTGGTCAGACAATTAAAAATATTGTCCCTTTTCGCCATATCTTTGTGTCCCTGTGGAGGCCACTTTTTTATTGTTGCCATGGCAGCCGACTACAAAATGAATATTTAATGTCACCCCCAACCCCAAGTACTACCCCTCACCCCTCCCAAAGGGCCTTCGGAATATCGAACGGCTAACACCAAGTTCAATGTCAAGTTTGTCTCGTACCAAGCAGCGTATGCGTTATTTTTGTGCTGCATGTTTGCCCCGAGTTCGGCTTTTATTTATGGCCTCGTGTGTATTTTCAGCTAATAATCGGGGAAAATCAACAGAGGCAAAAAAAAGAGAACTGGGAGAACAATAAAGCAGGCAAAAGGCTTGCTGTTATTTATGCCAATTATATTTACCCATAAAAATTTGCCAATTAATTGGAATTTGTGGAGATGGAGGTTCTCAACCAGGGGTGTACAAATTGCATATAAATATTTTAAAGAGAGGAAATGAAAAATGCTTCAGCTGAAAATTGGTAGGAAGTAGGTTTTGTTTTGTCTAAAAAAATGTTGACTTTAAGAATGCATATAAATAATTAAGTATTCTATAATTAAAACGTACAAATAAAAGTCATGCATTCAAATTTAAAAAAAATGTGACTTGTCAAACAGAAAGCCAAGCATCCGAAGTATACAAAAAGTGGACATTAAATTAACTTTTCTGGCTTATTTTGAGTTTTAAATGTAAGTATCAGAGAAATGAACAACAATAAATAAACGTGCCAGCAGTTGAAATTCGGTTACAACGCACAAAAGACCAAAAATCATTTGCAGGTCAAGCAAGAGCCGCCCAAACGCCATGGGGGATTTTCGGGGAAAACATGTTGGTGGATCTGTCACAAAATTTCATATTTCACTTTATTTGTGTCAGTTGACAAATGTTTGAAATTGACAGCCGTAAGAAATAAAACGAAATAAAGCGAAAGGTTGGTGGGGAACAGAAATGCTAAATTTTATATAGCTAAAAACAAATTTAAAAAGTAGTTAAAAAATCTCTGCTGCGAAAAAAATGTAAAGGTAAAACTTGTATAAAATTAGTAATTAAACTAAACTTTAGTAATGTAGAGAACTGTAAAAAGCTGCCTTGGTTAAATAAATACCACTTTGCACTAATAGAAACCGTATGTCTTGGCTAAAACCTCTTAGAAATGATAGGGCACAAAATAAGAAGAAAACTCCATGCGATTGGTGTATGTCAACATTTCTCGATGTGCTTCGCAGAAGGTTGAAAATTCCCACTCACATAGAAATCTTTTTTCATCATGGGGCAGGTCAGTGAAAATGTTGGACATGTCCAAAGAGGCAGAGAGAAATCAAACAAATTGCTGTGGATGTACTACAATTGAAACCGTTAGCTCAGACTTGGACGTTGTGGGCGTGGCCCCCTAACAATGCTCAGTTGGATAAAAAAAAAATACAAAAATGCAACAGATACAGGTTGGTTGACTTTTGAGGCCTTTATGTTAATTTCTGTTTCATTTCCAGTTTGTTTTCCCCCAGATCTGCGCTTTATGGAAACTCACTGAAGTGCATCAGCACGGGAGTGGCGAGCGTAAGAGCAAACGTGCTGTGATTTAATTTTTCTGTGACGGTCGGCGGCAAACAAAATAACACCAACATAAGGGGCAGCAGGAAAATGTGGGGGAAAAATTCAATTAAAATGCACAAAGCCTCTCGTCTCGCCTGACCTCTCGTTTTGCTCCTTTCCGTTCCGAGGACAAGCAATTATCGTTGTTGCTGCTCACGTATGTGGATCAAAAAATGCTTCAACTTAAATTGAATTTGTTATTAAAACCCAATTTTACATGACGCATTTTGATGACATATCATCCATCCAGCTCCAGACGAGAACTTCAATTTCAAATGCAGACGAAGGAGATAGCTTGACGATGCCGCAAATCGCGAAATTCCATTTTCCCCTACTCCCCCCCTTATCTAACACATGGCAAACGAGAAATTTTCATAACAACAACCGAATATTTTTTCGCATAAACATGCAAATTTCTCACTTAAACCCAGACCCAGAATTCATACCCCTCCCCCCGTTGCACTCATCTTCTCGATGAGTAATTTGCATGTAAATATATATACTCGTTTATATAGTATTTTTCCTGTTTGCTTTTTAGCATTTGTTCATGAACTTCGCAGTTGACGAGAACAACAAACTGTCATACAAAGCTTTGCCATTGTTCAAGGAAATTTTCTCAAAACGATAGAGGGACGGTGAAAGAAGCACCAGACTATTTCCCGTCAAGTGACTGACTAACAAGTTTCGTTTACAGCGCATCTACACTGGAACAAAATTACTTTAGTTTGTTAAATATAATTAAAGAGAATAAAAAATATTAATTAATAGGTTTTAAGCTCACAAAATTCAAAAGTTTTTTATTATCGGTAAACAGTTTCCGACCAGCCTACAATTTTCCAGATTAAAGAAAAAATTGCTCTTTTCTAAAACATTCGCTCTAAAAAATTAGTAAATATGTATATTACTCTTTAAATTTTAAATATAATATTTAAATTAATGCAGCTATATTTTTCTCAATGCATTAATGTTCACACTCAAATTTAATTGCGCTTGGGGGTTACGTTTTGATTTATGACCAAATTGCAATAGCGAACAAAATATGTACGTAATAATTCTGTGGAAAAACGCACATGAACATTTAGGTAAGGAAATATATACAGAATTATTTTCAACGAGTCGTGGAATAATTAGATTTTACAAGTGGGAAAGCGAACAGCACATGAAAGTGAATCGACACACGTGTCTGTTGGTAATAATGCAAACAAACGCTTAATGACTTAATGTAAAACAAATGCTCATGACTACATATATGTATGTACGTGCATATAATGAATCACAGGCTTCATACACAGTTGTTCATTTGGGTGACTAAAGGCTAATAAATCCATAAACAATATTGTGTGGGCGTACATTTATATAAGAAATATGAAAAAGGGTAAGTAAAAGGCTAGGTGAACCTCATAAACACGAATAAGCAGCTTAAAACGTATTTCTTTAAATTCAAATGGCATTAACGCATTTATACATTGATTGTATTTAATGTTGAGAAAATTGTTTATTGACAAAAACATAAGGCAATTAGAGTTTCTTGAATTTTGGACCCAACTTGGCAGAGATTTCTTAAAGTATATATATTTAAATAATCACAATCCTTGTTTCATGAGCTTTTTCTTTTAGAATAGGGTGCATTTATTTATTTGCTTGTTAACTTTTAATGTAATTTAAAACCTATTGTGCATTTAATCATCGTGATTTCGTATGACATGCGACTTCAGAAGAGTTTTTTGCAATTCTTGAATAATTATTTTCTTACAATATTTTTTTGCTCTTACAGGATCTGTCAAGTCATTCGTTGGCCACAAAAAGAGATACTCTGCAGTACATGTATTTGCCAACTTTATTCAATTTCTGGCATGACTTGCCGATGTTGCTACTGCGACTGTTGCTGCTGTGGCTGATGTTGCTGCTAGCCATGTTGCTGATGAGCCATGGCAACAAGCTGTTGCTGCGATGAGTTGGCATAAGCCTTCGCCTGGAGTCTGCCAACGCAATAAAGCAATATTGAAATTGCTTTTGGCAAACACTCAATTGAAAAGGACCAATTGAATTGCCCACCCAATGAACTCGTAACCCAAAGTGCAGCATAGTTGTGGGAAATTGTGCGGAATAACTTGATGTCGGCTACATAAATATGTGAGCAAAACACGGGCTCATTTAAATCAAATTCCCACAGGCAACGTCAATTATGTGGAGCAGCAACAAGTGCCTGAGAGTAGGATCCCCCTTTTTCTCCATTCCTGTGGAAAATTGCCTCCGGTGCGACAGCAGCAACAACTTCAATGCATTTTTAGCCTCTTTTTTCGCTACCTTTTTACACAATTTACATTTTTTGCAACTTTGCCATGCAATGGGCGTGATTAACAACTTCCCTTTTTGACCGAGGAGTGAAGTGGATGAAGGCAAATTGCCTTGATTCACTTGGTTAGGCATTGAAATTGACACTTTCGAGGCAACCCGGCTTAAACGATAATTGCCCGACAGCATTGGCAAAAAAAAGAGACTACGCTATGCGTAATGGAATTTATGATTGGCACACAGATTGTTATGAAAGTCTGCATCCCAACATCGTACGCTAAAGTCTTAGATTACAAAACAATAATTGGAAGGAAGTGAGTCAATGGAAGTGGTTAACTTGTGGGTCTTCTTTGATTGATTTTTTTCTATTTTATTAAACATGATTGGTCAGAGATTTATATCGCAGACTAATCTCATATAATTTGAATTAAAAAGAAGACATATCTGGTTACTATCCTCTCACTTATTTATTTAATTTTTATTATAGTATTATTATAATATTTACTTATTTAATTACTGTTTAAGCAACTAACTTAATCTGTTGTCAAGCATTTATTATATTTTATACCCAGAGATGCGTAACCGCCTTGGAAATCATTGCCTCCATTGATTATGTTTCCAATCAAAATCCATTGAAGCGAGGCTGATGACGCTGCGATTAATATAGTAAATAACTAAATGATGTCTATTCTTATCAACAAATATAAATCTGGGCACATTTGTAGGGGGGAAAAAAATAAAACAAAAGAAAGTGAATGCAGAATGATTGTTGCATCGACAACATATCGACAAAACTTTAATTTTTGGTAATTTGAAATTCATTCAGATTAAACTATCTTTACTTTACGTGTCTGTTTGAATGTGTAATTAAATAATATAGTTTACCGAATGCCTTTGAAGCCCAATATACTCCGCTGATCATGGGTACATTTTTGGGTACAAAAACTTGCCCCAGACTTTGATAATAACATGGTACAGCCCTGCGACTGTATAAATTACTATCAGGACGCTCAGTCAAAAAGAGAGACAGAGAGATAACTGGCCCAGTATGTGATAGCATGCACGGAATTTATTTTTTTCAATTTGTTCGAATCTCGCTTTTGTTATTTTGGTCAGGCAAGATGGACTTGCAGTTGTCAGTTGGCAGACGAGAGGAGCGGTGAGTCGATCGCGACTTTCGATTTCGTTTGGCATCTTCGTCATTATCATTATCATTTGTATTATAATCATTATCATCCTCAGTGGGCCTGCCAACTCGCAGTAATTATCTGCCATCGGGGCAGACGTCCTCAGAATCGGCTTTAGTTGTTCAGCAGTACCGCAGTAGTCTGTCAAGGCCCGTCGGCATCGCAACATCATCGACACAATGTGGCTGCTCCTGCCCATTCTACTGTATTCGGTGGTCTTCCTCACCGTACGCCACATTTACAGCCACTGGCGACGCAGGGGATTCCCCTCGGAAAAGGCCGGCATAACATGGAGTTTCCTGCAGAAGGCATACAGGCGGGAATTCCGACACGTGGAGGCCATCTGCGAGGCCTACCAGTCGGGACGGGATCGTCTGCTGGGCATCTACTGCTTCTTCAGGCCCGTCCTCCTGGTGCGTAGTGTGGAGCTGGCCCAGACGATTCTGCAGCAATCGAATGGACACTTCAACGAACTCAAGTGGGACTATGTCAAGGGTTATCGACGGTTCAATCTGCTGGAGAAACTGGCACCCATGTTTGGCGCTAAAAGATTGTCCGAGATGTTCGGGCAGGTCCAGAAAGTGGGTGATCATTTGATTAGCCACTTGACGGAGCAGGAACAAATACAAGGAGGTCATTTGGAATTGGATCTTCAACAAATATTGGGAGTGTAAGGATTTTTTTGTATATCCCTCTGATTTTGTATATTTTCATTTAATTATTCATTTTAGTTACTCAATCAACATCATTGGCAATCTCATTTACGGCGTGGATATTAACAACTTTGAGCAGAAGGATCACATCTTGACCAGCTACCTGAGTCACAAACAGGCCTCTATTCAATCCTTGTAGGTACAAGCCAAAAAATTCCCCACTCTATATACCTAATCATATTTTAATCCCATCCTCAGCACTTTGGGTCGCCTGCCTCAGAAATCCTCATTTACCTATCGCTTAAGGGATCTAATAAAACAGAGTGTGGAATTAAGAGAAGATCATGGACTGATACGAAAGGATATTTTACAATTACTAGTCAGATTTCGAAATGGCAATGAAGTTGGTGGCGATAAATGGCAGCTGGAAACGAATAATGGTATGGCATAAATATTGAATTTTAAATAAATAAAAATATTAAATTATTTATTCATAGATCCAGAAAAACTTTTGTCTATCAAACGCTTGGCTAAAGTGGCTGAGGATCTTTTGAAGGCATCCCTAGAGGCAGTGTCCTCTACCATCACCTTTACACTCTTTGAAATCCTGCAAGAACCTTTAATTGTGGAGAAACTTCAAGCTGAAATCAAGGAACTGAGCAATGAAAATGAGCAGCTAAAGTTTGATGAGCTGGATGGTCTAAAGTATATGGAAATGTGTCTAAAAGGTGAGTTCGAGCTTAAATTAATAATAAATTATTGATAAGCCAACTTGTTTAACCTTTTGCAGAGACTGTTCGCAAATACCCGCCTTTACCCATTATTGAACGCATTTGCCGTAAAAGCTATTCACTGCCCAACTCGAAATTTACCATAGATGAGGGAAAGACTTTAATGGTTCCTTTGCTGGCCATACACAGAGATGAAAAGTATTTCAGTGAACCGATGAAATATAAGCCTGTTCGATTTCTGCAATCTGGAAGTGATGTGGGCCAATGCAAAGATAAGACTAAGAGCAATGCTTTCATAGGATTTGGTATTGGTGGAGCACAATGTGTTGGTATGTATTTATTCGACACCCGAAACATATTTTAAGAATATAATTCCTACTTAATTACAGGTCAGAACTTTGCCAAGTTGGTAATTAAAGTGGCGCTGATCAAACTTCTGCAAAACTTTCACATGGAATTGGATCCCAACATAATTGCAACCCTCGAAGTTTCACATCAACCAGCTCCCTTTATAAACACAAAGGATGGACTAAAAGTCAAATTGAAGAGACGCGAAATAAAACCGAAATTTTATGGTTAAACTAAGGTTAGGTTAGGTATGCTCTTTAAGCAGCTAAGTTCTTTAATTTGTGCATCTTTTTCAACACTTTGTCGTCTGTGCGCGACACCTGAAATTATGCTATAAATAAAATTCAGTATATTATGGCCACAGTTCTTCCTTCTTGTTGTTGTTGCTGTTGTTGTTTCTGTCTGCTCTCGTTTGCTTCGCTCGCTTCGTTAACTTTTGCAAAATGCCAAAAGGTCCTGGGGCACACGGTGCGTATACGTAACGTCACACAACGGCAAACTCGCAGCATTAAATTAGTCATTCCTATGTGTCTCTGTTGTTGTTTACGCCAACACGGATATAGAGAAGCAATTCTGGAGTATATGGGGGCGGTAAGAAGGAGACATCATCTCGGGCGGAAAAGACATGTGCTTCCATTTGAGTTTATCATTAAATTTGATTTGCTTTGTTGCCAATCCAACATGACAGCCAACTGGATACCGATTGCCGAGCCTCTGCTCTACTCTCCACAAATATGTAAAAGTCAAGTCAGTCTGTCCATTTCAAGTACCCATCTCGTTTGGCCAACACTCAAAAAAAAAATTATGTGTTACCTCAAATAATATTTAAATTAAAAAACACGTCTAAAAACTAATGATACAAACTAATTATAGTAATGGGTGAATAACATAAATCATTATATTAAATTAAGAAAGTAATATATTTCTTAAATAAATATCTTTTGATACATAACAACCATTTGAACTTCAAAAAATATAAATGATTCTTCTGAACCCGTTTAAGCTTAAAATATTGACCCATTTTTTTAATCCCTAGTTTTTTTTCTTTCACTGTGCCAATCCAGTTTCGAAGAGTGACAATAAGGGCCAAGAGGCGCCTCTAATGATGCCGCAATTAGGCCGCATTATGGACACATTTATCATCCACAGACCGGACTGGAGAAACGGAAAGAGAGATAGAGATGTCACAAACAAATGACTCTAATGAGTGCGTAAAGTGTTTTACATTAATGAAAACTTTTCGGCCGTTCCCCCCAAAAAACAAACCCATCAAACTAATTGAGACCGAGCTGGAGCTGAGTTTTTGGGGATAAATGACCTGGAAAAAGTCCGAAATCGACAGCAAACTTTACGACTCTTGCTCTGGCCAAAGTATTAAAATTGAAATTCAATCAAACGAACAGGGGTTGCAAGAGTCATGGGGCAGCCCAGAGAATTTAGGACCCAAGCACCAACCACCAGATAAAATCCACCGGCACGACTACACGACAACAGGAGCAAGTGGAGCTCTTCACATGTTTTGACCCAGTTCGCAGGCAAGGCGAGGCAAGTGTCGAATATAAATTGCATGAGATAGCCCAGGAGATGGCGAGAGATTCGGAGGCAACTCCCTTTGGCGCAATCTTGGCTGCCATTGTCCTGGTTACATTTAAACATTACTCATTCCTCCACATTAAGCGGTCAAAACGGCAGCCCAAGTCCGGAAAACCGCACAAGTCAAATTTAAAAAGCAAGTACAAAGTTGCTTTCATCGTTGGGCATAAATTATGCGCCGCAAAAAGCATACAATTTTCATTTCTCCTCGCTTAATTATGATTTATTTTACCCATGGGACATGCACCGCGTAATGCTAATTTTCATGTAAAGTTGTTGCCCAATTAGGGTTATTAACTTACCATAATTTCAAGATCTGTTTTCGGGGTTAACTGCAAGGAGACAGAAAAACAAAAGTAGAATCAATTAATCAAATGCACATTTATGGAGTTGTGTTATTGAACTTTTGCTTTAAAAACAAAACCAGATTACAATTGAACGGCAGCTAAAGTGAAAGATAAATTTGTTACTATAACAATAAACAGAGTGACACAAAAGGTTATCGCAGCAGTCGCCTTTAATTACCCAATTGACATATGACTTTTTGTTTGACTTTTATTGTTTTTGCCATGCCAAAGTTGTGCAACACATTTGGCTGCTTAAATAAAATCACTTTAAATGCATTTAAGTGGCTCAACTAGGGGAAGTATTTGTTATGTGACTAGCAAATATCATATCAAGCTAGAGCGTTTTATTTCGTTCAATTTAAGCCCACAAATATGCGGAATATTTGCATAAGAAAACGAAAAATGTCTTTGCATAACAAAGAAGCTCTCATAAGGAATATATTTTGGCGTTGACTACATTTAAACAGTTTTGAACAGCTAAGAGAAATTTCAAATATTAAAGTTGTGTAATCAATATTGAATTAAGCGGTTACAACAAAAATCGAATTTTTACTCTGCTGAGATAAATAATTGATGATTAATAATATTAATAATTTTCGTTTCGTTTTTTCGTTAAAGCTTTCATATTAATTTTTAAATTCTGTTGCTTTAAATTTCATAAATTTAATTCTTGTTTTTGCTCACCACAGCAATTATGTTCGCTAATTGGATAAGAAGTTTTCTCGTTTAAAAACTTTCCCAGTTGCAGAGTGGTTAAGAAAACAATTTAATTGACGGTCATTTCATGTGTTTATATGCTGCATCTTTTCACTTCTCCCCCTCATTTAAAAATTCTCCCAACTGTGCTCCAAAAAAGATAAAGTAACAGACGACCTCAGAGGGTCAGCAGTAATAAAACTAAATAAATGTTGGCCTTTAATTGTTCTCTCTCTGGGGTTTTTTTTATGAATATTTGTTTAACAGTTAAAGTTGGCAAGGGTGCAAGTGTGTATTTGTCGTGTATGAAGATTATAATCATTACGAGCTTGAAGAAAAATGTTAAAAGGGGAATTTCAGGAAAACTGTGCGAGCAAATGGCAGTTAAACTGTTTCTGAAACAGTGCTACTTCTATAAATGAGATTGTATTAAATTATATTCTGTGAATTTATAGAAATATTTAAAAATGTGAAACCGATGTCATAATATTTTCCTAATAGTTATTTTTTAAAATTTTTTTATTTTTATGAAGTGTTATGAGGCGTACTTCCTAGTTCTATTTAAAGCAGTTGCACTGTCTGTGGAATATGTCTTCATGTTTGGTCTGAGCTGGGCGGCAGTGGGTTCAGTTGGTTTACTTTTTCAATTTGTGTGCGTTGCATTCACATAATTGCCACATGGAGTTGCATGATGCATCCGCCTGTCGCCCTTCAAACTGCACATATATATAGATCATTCGCGATGTGCGACATGATTTATTCTGACGAGATGAGAAGAGGATGTTTGAGGATGCCGCTGGTGTTTGCGTGCAGCTGTTTGTTGTTGTTATTGGCGGCTGTGTGCAGTTGCTTTAATTATTGTCAGCCAAACTGTCGCGGCCACCAGTCGCATGTGTAATTTGTTTGTCTGCCTTTTTCTCTTTCTTTTATTTTCTTTTCTTCGGTCTGCTTCGCCTCCTTTACACAATATTTTTATCTGTTTCCGACTTTTAATTAATTTATGTGTCTGTCATTTTACAGGTCTGCTTAAATAGTGCGTTGAATTCGGAGCTTACGAAGTGGGCGGCACTTGAATTATTTCATTATCTCACATCAGGATGATGCGTACTGGTTTTTGAACTTTAAACAATTGACCTAGTTATTATTTTGTATTATTTAAAAGAATAATTCATTTAAAATTGATCAAATAATAATAATTTATTGCACTATTCACCACTTTTCAAATAAATATTACAAAGTAAAATATACCTGTTTCACACCTTATTGTATTATAAACTTATAAAACATCCCTTCTCTTATAAATTATTTACATTTCCTTAATCAACCAACTAGTTCCGTAATCTCAGAACCCATTCTTCTTGCTCAGAAGCGTAACCTTCCTAATGGTTAAAATCATTTAGCCTTCATTTTCAATTACCCGGCGTAACGAAGCGCCGAAAGCATTTATCAAAATGCCAAACTAGATAACTTAATTAAAGCCCCAAAATCAATCTGCATATATATGTGGGGCCTGACAAAATCGAAATCTGTGCAGCCCCACCCACCCAACCATCCGCGCCACAAACAATAGGAAGCGGCAAGCAACAACATCCGCTTATCGCGATAAATCAAAGACACGAGTGTTGTTAATTTTCCAAGAAAATTTCGGATATACAAAGTTTTTGGGCATGGAGGCGAAAAACGTGCGTGAATGTGCTCGGTGGTAATAAAGGCAACTTAAATTTATGTTTTCACGGTGAACAAAAAATTATCTTAAGCCAAATGAAGGGGGGAGCTGGGAACTTCTTGCTCACTTTGGGGCCAACAGCATGCCAGTCATGTGTGAGTACAACTCATTTTTGTAGGCACGACGAGCGACTTGCTAATTCTAATTAAAACCAACAGCAGCTGAGGGAAGTCTGCAACACACTCAAGCAGAAAATTATCAACTCCGCGGAGAGATCCGCAGATGAAGATATGCGGAGTTAACTAAACTTCTGCCTGGCTAGACCAAAAGATGTTTCTTGAATGCCACTGGAGAAGGAAAAACCAGTGGAAAAATGAAGAAACCCCTGTTCACCGCAGGCCAAAATTAAATTGTGCACATTTCCGTGGAGCGGAAATTGCCCAAGTCTGTCACTTGGAATGAGTACATACAGAACCTGAGATGTATATAATGGAATTAGCCGAAAAGAGCATTCGCCATTTATGTGTTTCCCTTCCGCAAATTGAAATTCATATCACTCACTTTAATGCTAAATTTCGCCCGCTCCAGAATTTACAACAAAACGCGCACCCGCACAGGTGTAAATTATGTGTTCAAATTCATGGAAGTTTCGGCTTACATTTTAAAGCCCCAAAGCGGTGAACAAAGCGCTTTGCTGGCCATAATCATTTCCATTGCATTTAACCAGAAATTAGCGGATATTGTGACCTGTGTGCACTTTGCACTGCTAATTGAATTAAATGCCTAATTAATTACCATTAGGGCCGTGCATCAACTGCAAATGTGCCAAATGTAATCCAAATGAACATGCCGCTGCACAGTTGTGCACGAAAGTTATTTAATTTATGATCGAATATAAATCAAATTATTGAAAAGCTTAATTATAACAATGGCCCACCTTTTGACCGAAATGTACAGGTGTGTAAATGCGTGAGCAGAAAAGTAGAATTAAGAATTATGAGTTGGGTTGTAAAGTCTTAAATAATGTTAGATTTAAAGATTATTATTCCATAATTTAATTTATTTCCTATATTTTTGGTGAAGTTATTTTCAAATGTCTTATTTTCAGTGTTATTTTACATGTATTTACATATTTTCATAAACTCCTTTACATTCTTGCTTAAATAAACTCTTCGTAAGCTAAAATTTCAAGATAGACCGATAAAATCCAGGCTACTCATCAAATTGGCTCCTTCAAAGGGCTGAGCTCTTCATGAACCGGATGAACCTTTGACTACCTAATTCCGGTTGCAGTATACATATATTTCTATTGCCCACAGCAAGCTCTGCAGCTGATCCCTTGGCTGAAAACATTCACAACTCCTTCTTGCCTCCTCTAATTTACTTCACTGGCTGGTGCTCATAACTCAATCCCTGACTCTTCCTGCTCCATGGCTTTGGCTAACCCTTAAGCCACATCCAGATGCATTGACAAAATTTCACTTTGGATGAGAGATGCTGGTCCCCGCTGCTGTGGATTCCAAACGGCAAAAGCTTGGGGACACTGCAGTTGGTTGCATTTCGCAGCTGCAAAAAAAGTGGAGGGACGTGGATGGTTGGTTGGAGCTGGAGCTCTTCTTTTCTGCCCTGTCACATGCCACATTCTGGTAACTCTTTTTTTACTGGGTATGCAAAGGGTGCTAGGACATACATTTGTTTAAGTAATTTATATTAGTATTTATTCGAAAGCACTTCTAACTCAAAATCTCTGATAACATTAATATTTCGATATTGTATTTGTTCCAAGAGTTTTACTAACTATATCCGAATAAAGTACGAGATATTCCAAAGTCGACTATAAAGATCTGGATAGTTTTTTCTTGTCGGCATGATTTTCGCAATCAGTGGAAAGCAGCTTGAACTGCTGCAGTTGTTGCATTTCTTGCTGGTGCTGGTTTGGCGTGACATTTGGCTTTGGATAGGAAACGGGATTCGGGGAATCGCGTCCAAGGGAAGAGGGATTGGGAACGGGAATGGGAGCCATCTCCTTCTCGACATGCAGCATAATCTGGCGTAGCTTTATGCCCAGGGCTTTTTTTCTGGGTTTCGATGTCACACGGAATGTAACGTCGTCACCAAATGATGCGCAATTCACATATGAAACTAATTTTCCGTACAACAAAGTCAATTCTCCATCTAATCCGAAAGGGAAAAGGCGCTCGAGGGGTAACCATGTTTATGGTTCTATCGCCTTGAACTATGTCAAATGCCGTTCAATTAAGTTTTCGCTTGCACAATGATAAGGAGAATTGGCCCACCTCCTTTAGCGCAACTCGACTCATAACAGTGACGCCAAAGGGTATTAACACGGGTTTACGGCGGCGTATTTCAGGGGCCAATCGAGGGGCGTGGCAGGGGTTGGGGCGCTGGGGCATATGTGGGGACATCAGATTGATAGCGTCGCTAAACAACACAAAACAGAAAAGACCCTAACGGGCTGGTCTAGCTTCCTACTTCTAATCAAGCACGTAAATAAAGTTAAGGTTTACGTGTATATGCATGCGAGGGATACAAAAACACAATGGGGCAGCAATTTATTTACGGAAAATGAAGTTGAGATACCCTAATTTAAAGGAAGGTTGTT